TGGGAAAAATAAAATATGATTTTTTTTTCCAGTTCAAAACAGTTCAGAAATGCGCGGCTTCGGCGAGCGTTGTATTTTCCCACGTTTTCTTTAACTTGCTTTCTCTGTGTGTTTATTTATTTATTTGTTTGTCTTTCCAATCCAATCTTGCGATCGAAATTTCTGGCACTTCCCAGTTAGCTAGCGCTCTGAAATTTTCAGGGAAGCTTTCTTTTGGATGACCATTGAATATTCAATTGTTATTATTACTAAATTGATCAATGGAAACATTTTATTGAGCATTTTAGACCGCTATATAATCTATATATATAATTCTCCTCTGCTAGCCATTAGAAAAAAACCCAGCGACGCGTACCTCGCGCGCAGTGAAGCGAACGATCACATGTCGCCACAGGCTTAGGGGCAGAGAATTTAGCTTGAACCGAGTTTAAACTTACAGGAGGTAGGCCAGTTTGGGGGAGACGATATGGTCGAGTGGTTGGGCACACGATTGCTATCCCACTCGACACGGGTTCAAATCTATGTGTTCTAGTCAGTAACGTATTCAAACAACGTGTTTTTTACGAGTTGTCTTTTTACGAGTTGTCTTTTTACGAGTTGTCTTCGTTTACCCAAAAAAAGTGAAAAGATAAAATCGATAGCAAGATTTTAATGCAAACAAACAGACAAAGACTAAAAAGTAGAAAATAATAATCATTAAAAAAGTTTTAAAAAACCCACGTTTTCTGATTGAACTAAAAAGTAGAAAATAAATGCTATAGGCCCTACATCACAATAATGCAAGCGATCACTCTACTATAAGCGAGCAAAAACGTGGGGCGCCGTGATTTTCTTACAGTTTCTAATACTGTTGACTCTCTACAAGCTCCCTAATAAAAGTCAATAGTATTATCTAATCAATAGTAATATAACTTTTACTTCGGCGCCCCACGTTTTTCATCGCTTATAGTAGAGTGATCGCTTGCATTATTGTGATGTAGGGCCTATAGCATTTATTTTCTACTTTTTAGTTCAATCAGAAAACGTGGGTTTTTTAAAACTTTTTTAATGATTATTATTTATATTTTCAATCTCCATGCAGCTTAAGGAAGTTTTCTGTTAGATAAAAATATTTTGGGAAAAAAATCCACGACGTACATACAATGATTAAGTCGACTATTGGGCTACAACATAGGAATAAAAAGTATATTCGTCACAGCATGTATTAACGGCTACAGGACATTACCCCCCCCCCCCCCCCGGAGCAATTACCCCCTTGTCAACTAACCCCCTGGGGAATTAACCCCCCCCCCCCCCATCCTTAAAAATATAATCCTGATTCTAACTCCAACTCTATACCTATATATTACCTTAATCCTAACCTTAAGACAAAGACGAAAAACCTAAGAATTCACCTCACCCTAAAATTAACCCAAAACCAAACCCAACTCTAGACATTGATTTAAGCCTAACCCTAATCCTAGCCCTAACCCAATCCTAACTCAAACCCTAGCTCTAACCCTAGCTGAACCTTAAGCTATGACCGGGGGGTAATGTCCTACTATCTACCTACCTACCCACCCACCCACCCACCCACCCATTCACCCACCCATTCACCCACCCAACCACCCACCCACCCACCCACCCACCCACCCACCCATCCATCCATCCATCCATCCATCCATCCATCCATCCATCCATCCATCCATCTCTATCTATCTATCTATCTATCTATCTATCTATCTATCTATCTATCTATCTATCTATCTATCTATCTATCTATCTATCTATCTATCTATCTATCTATCTATCTATCTATCTATCTATCTATCTATCTATCTATCTATCTATCTATCTATCTATCTATCTATCTATCTATCTATCTATCTATCTATCTATCTATCTATCTATCTATCTATCTATCTATCTATCTATCTATCTATCTATCTATCTATCTATCTATCTATCTATCTATCTATCTATCTATCTATCTATCTATCTATCTATCTATCTATCTATCTATCTATCTATCTATCTATCTATCTATCTATCTATCTATCTATCTATCTAATCTATCTATTTGTCAAGAACGCTATAGAGAAAACTCAAGCAGAGTAAAAACAGGCATAGTAATTTGAAAAACGAAACGTGATGTCACATGGAATGTATAGTAAAAAATAGTCTCAAGGGGTCATCTATAAATGACGTCACACTCGTAGGGGGGAGGGAGGGTCCGTAATTTTATGACGATGTGTGATGAGGGGAAGGGGTTCAGATGTTGCGACGTCACACTTTTGCATTATAAAAAAGCAATGTTAGAAAAACGAATTTTAGACGTTATTTCGCGTTTTAGATAACTGTTTTAATAAATCGTAATAGTTTAGACAAGATTTTGAAAAAGAAATGACGTCATAGATGCTCTATTATAAAAAAAACTGACATTACCGCCAAATTCATGTGTCTAATTTTAAAAGTGGTTTGCTTGCAGAGTTTCTTTCATGCATCTCTTCGGGTAGAGGCAAAGCCCCCCCCCCCCCCTCCCCGCCGGTAGAACTTCAAATCCTCAACACCCCCAAACGAAACATTATTTATATAGAGAATATATATTTTTACCAGTGTCGGCCTCCCCTGCCCCGGGAAATTTTATTCGCCCCTGCAAAAATTCAAGTGCCCCACCCCCGGGGAAAAAGTCTGAAAGAAACACTGAGTGAGTGAGATTTATCGGCCAAAAGTAGGAAACGGGTCTATATTATAGAAGTAGGCTCTACCTTTAGTCTGTACAATATATAAATGCGACCAGTGTTTTTTTCAGACTTTTTCCTCTCCGGAGGGGGGGGGGGGGGGGTACTTGAAATATTCGGAGGTGGGGGTTGACTAAATTTTCGGGGTGGGTTTGGACCCTGGTAAAAGTATATATATTCTATATACGTAATATTTCGTTGAAGGGGACTTGCTTCGGGGTGGGTTGTGTGAGGAAGGGAAGGGGGTTGAGTTGGTGATTTTGGTTTTGGTTTTGAGAAAAAACTATCAACCTAGCGCCCGTTGTATCCTTCCTCAACTGACCATGTCTCGTGTTAATAGAACGACCCAAATATTTGAACATTGTTGTGTGTGTGAAGTGTGTGTGTGTGGGGGGGGGGTCTGGGGTTTAATACTGCAATTCAAGTTTGACAATTTTAATGAGGAAATTTCTTTCATGCTTACAAATGAGTAGGCCTCGTTTTTCAATGACAATGCAAAAAAATATAATTTTTAATCTAATGGCGTTCATTATCTTTAATGAGTAAGCCGCGAACATTATTGTTGAATGGATAAAAAGCGTATTATTGTCAATTTTACTCTGAGTGGCAATACACTTTTTAAATGTTAAAAAATAAATAAGTGAAATTTTAAAATCACAACGGTTTACATATTTTATTTATATATTTAGGACAATAAATTTAACAATAAAATGACGGTGAGAGATTATCCGAAATGTGTTCAGAAATTTATCTAGTAATTTTTGTATTATATACCACGTAAATTTTACAACTAATTATGGAAAAGAAGAATTGACCATAGATGACCGTTTATTTTTTTTTACAATAGGCACTAGGCTTTACGCTTAGTCAGAGCTCATGTAATAAATTAAAGGTAAACGAATGGCTTAAGTTACACATCAGATTACATGTTCTTTAAGTGTGCATATGAAGACAGCATAAAAAAGTTGTCTACAAAATTTAAGTTTTACTTTCATATACAAAAATTCTTACTATAAATCAGTCGAGCCGCTAGGTCGGGTGTCACCTTGTGTGGCACTTCGTGGTGTCACCGCATACGCATACATGTATGTGCATAAGCTTTAATCACTGCAGACTTAATAATAACGATTTTCATCTATAGTCTGTTAACAATACAGTTAGATGTAGCATTGTTTTCTCTATAGTTAGAAAGTTCACGACATGGTGTCACCCCTCACCATCTAGTAATAATTGTAGATTTGTACTTAAAACACTATTTAACTTTAATTAATAATCGTTAATGGAACTGGCAAAAAGCAATTTTCTTATGTACATTTTGCAATTTTTTTTTGTTGCTATGGTGTCACCCGGTGTGGTCCGCACCCACCACCCCCCGCTAAGCCCCTGCTATAAATAGTATCTTATGGGGTCTTAAAAAAAATGGTGCTTCTACAGCAACCTGGAGCCATCTTAGTTTCAGAATCCGATAAACTCTCTTTAAATTACCTGTCAACATTAGCCTACTAAACAACGATCAGGTAATCATCATGTTTCGTATGGCTAGTAGATTTTTGAGTTAGTCATGAACGATAATTCATTTTTAATGTAAGACATGCACGAAGAGTTAATGTTCCTGCGACAAAGCCCGCCTCAGAAGAAAAAAACTCCGCCAATTGGATAGAACAGTATGCAAGGGGCGACATTTCAAGTGAATTCGATATTAAAAAAAAAAAATAACGCTCGGTTGTAAATGGATTTCACAACCGGTGGTCATGATGAATGCTGTATACCGATTCTTGTCATCTTTGGAGTGCATACGAGATATTATATCACGAGATATTAAGTATTTACACTTTCACGGATAGGAGTGCGGATTTTTTTTTTACCCACAGTCATCTACTGTTGCTAGGCATATTCTGGTTTTGAATCATACTGGAGTATGCTTTGTAGTAGGTTAATGCTGCATTAGTTTTTTGTGCACCGCAAGTTTCAAAGAAAGGAAATTTTAATTCGTGAAATACTAAAACTATATGCAGATTATGTATGTAAAAGGCATAATGTGATTTATTTTTTGTTTTGTTTTATAGTTAACTGACTTCCTTTGTAAAGGAAGAATTGCAACTAAGGACTGTGTTTTTGCATATGTAATTATAGGTAAGATAATTTAAAGAATTTATACTTTAAAAAAAAAATCCCGTTTTGCAATGTTTTAAAATGTAACATTAGGGATGTGTTAGAGTAAGCATAGTGTATGGTAATATGCATCGTGTCTTCCAATGTAATTTATGTCATGTGTTTTACCTGATAGTCACAGAAATCATCTCGATCGATATCCACTGCACATTGGAGCACGAGGAAAAACGTCAACAAACAGGAGAGCTGCGTGTATAGAAAAAAATAGCACAAGTCAGGAAACACATGGTTTAGTGCACTTCGCGGTTACTTCTATGTAGATAAACAAACACGTAACAGCCTAGTCATTCGTGAAATGAGTCATCAACAGTACGTGAAAAATTTCAAAGGCTCTGCCTTTAATCGCACAAAAACAACAATAGATGTTTCCAACACGGAAACGCTTGGGTGGGGATCCAGATGTGCTAGCCGAACTATCTATGTGGAGAAAGCACACTCGCCGTTGTGCAATGCATTCTTCTACTGTGTGCTTGTCACCGTAGTGGGTGTTGCTCTTGTGGCACATATGTATTACTGCACGAAGATAATTGAAGAAAGATTAGAGGCCAGACTAGAGGAAAGACTATTATCTATCCTAGAAGGCAGGAAAGGCCTCAATGAATTAGACAACAGAAGTAGAAAGGTAAATTTAGCTCATACACTCTATGTTTAAAATCATTACTTAATATTATGCCTACAGAATAACAATACTTAGATATAGATGTGTACATTTATATATAGATAATAAATTGTTTTAAAATACAAGTTTGGAACAAACAGCTAGTGATGATAGTTAAAGCTTTGTAAAGGAAGAACTAAAATAATTGTCATGCCCCATACAAATCGACAACAATACAAATCACAGAAATCAACTACAGTCTAAATTTAATCATCTATCTATGGGGCTTTAACATTATATATGCTAATGTGTCATATTTATAACTATATACACTATTTAAACAATACAATAACAACCGTTATTGGCTTGTCATGGCTTGTAATTTAACAACACTAATTACTTTCACGTTGTTTTCAATGCCACTCACGTGTACCAGTATACATAAGTTTATGCCATATTATACTATGGTTGAAAGACATATAAATCAATTTCTAGACCTAATTACCAAACTTTAATAATTAGAAAGTCGATTATTGAGAGGGAGATCAGTACAAAAATGTGTTGGCGGTATGTTTCTCTCCTATTAGCCTCCCCTGGTATGTTGCCAGAGTTTATGTTAAATATGAATATACATTAAATACAGTGGTGTTAATATAACCACTGAAACTGGTAAACTATCGTCTTTACTGATACAGGTCTAAAAAATACTAGATAGTTTTATAATAAGTGAATTTTCAAACACATTTTTTAAAAATATAATTAGTGCGTGACTTTGTGCATAAGAATTGAAATGCTTTGAACTTAACATTTTCTTTTCAGATTAATTATGGATCAGCACAACATTTAAATAAGCAGGAAAATCATAGAATAAGGAGAAAAGCGCCTACAAAAAAAGAAGACAAGAATAAGGTTAGCTAATTTCCATTACTGTCTTTGGACGAGCTTCATTACTCTGTTATTTGGAATACTTTATTTAGAATGGGTAAACACCACATTGTAGTTTTTGTATATAAAGTAATGCCATTTGTATAAATCTTTGAACTTCTGTTACTTAGGATAAGGAATCTAAGCAAACATTCAAATTTATCCATCTGGTTGGGAGAAACAGTTCGAACACGATTTACGATGTCGGTTAGTAAATTATTATTTTTTTCCTTTGATTAAAAATGAAGTAAATGAATGACATAAACATTATCATGACTTTATTTTTCAAAAAAGTCTTTGTAACAGCATTATTATTATAAAATCATTTTTAGTAAATTAAATCTTAGTATATAAGCAGTTTTAATCTGACTCATCAAACGTAAGAAAACAATCATTTTATATTCTTTGAAATATTTCTATTATAGACCGCAATTTTATTTGGGATTCTAACAACTTAAATTTGGGACAAGCAAACTTGGTTGGCGTTAGACCAATACCAACTTCAAAGGTCGGTGAGTTCAACATGATAAAGATTACGAAGACGGGAATGTACATGGTGTACTCGCAGATTGCTGTTGTTGGAAAACAACAAAGCTTGTTCAGGTAGGCAGGCTACGTACACAACATCGATTCACTCTATACATTATGCTACCATCAGAGTTTCTATTTTGTTAACATAAATCAGACAATGTTTCTATTCTGCTACCATTAATCAGACAGTTTATATTCTGATAACATAAATCAGATGATATTTATATTATGCTACTATTAATCAGATTATGTTAATATTCTGTTACAATTAGTCGTGTATTAGTAGGACACAATATGTGCATAGGGCAGGTAGGGAATTATCGGTTTGTGTGATACCAGCAATATAACCAGCCGATGACTCGAGTCAGGTACCCAATAGAGCTGGGTGGACTCGATCCAGTGGGGGGGGGGGGGGGGGGGGGGAGGGAATCCAAACTTCCGGATTACAGTGTAGCTCATAATTAACTATGTAATAGATGTCTCTAGGAGTAACCAGTGTCTAGTATTGTAATACGTGTCTTGTAACATGTGTCTAAAGCAGTTTTTTTTAAATGTGACAGACCTCCAATCGACTGTGCACATGAAACAGTGTTGACAACGAACACAGAAGACAAGGTGATACTGAAAAGTTTGAGAACACAAATGTTGCCGTAAGTTTTACCACACTATCATTACTACTGCAATTATAGCTTGCATATTATTACACGTTTTCTTTTGTTTACTAAATAATTAATTTAAATTAGTGTTAAGCCTAACACGTCTTACACATGAGTTTTAAAGACATACAACTATTACTGTAATATAATTATTTTCTTTTAGCGCTCACTCCATACACAGTTCGATAAAACCAATAGACACAAACCTACAAATGGGTATCTTCCATTTGAAAAAAGATAACTCACTGAGAGTTCGCCCTTCCAAGTCATGCGACAATGACCATGACTACACCATGACACCTGAACATTCTTATTTTGGCGTCGTGAAACTTGGTTAACCATGCCAGCTAAACAAGACGCCGTAGTATGATTGTAGCCGCACCGAGTCAGAACATTTTTTAATGCACCATATCTATTGTGTTTTATGCTATTTGATTGCTTATTAGAGTTTTAGAGTAATCTTGAATTAAAATTTTAAATGTTATGTTCAGACATTTTAAATTCGAATATGGCTACACAGCTTGATTACATGTTTTTGTATATATGTACAGATAGTAAATTTAAAACGTGTTTAGTGTAGTGCTAGGTTGGCTATCGACATTGTCTTAAACTAAGTTATATGTTTACACAAAACCGAATCAGTCAACTTTTTTACTTGCTTAAGTATTGTGCACATGGACAGTGTATAATTATATACATTCTTTGTGACATTTAATGCTTGTGTAGTTTTTGTATACATCACATATTTTGTAAAGTCGAATAAAGCTTTCATTTTTAAACTATTTGTATTTTTGTTAAGTATGGATGGAGAATGAAATGATGAAACACGTTGAGAAAAGATAAAGATTAAAGGGGTAGGCATATCGGGTTTATCCTTCGATTTCTTAAAAAGATAATGAGCTTGCCGGTATAGAAATACACATATCGAGTGGTAAAACAAAAGGATGTATTAACTGTTTGCACGTGTTTGCCATATTTTGCTGCAGTCTCTGATATACAACAATGCATCATAATATCCAATGTTGTTCTTTTCGTGCAACAACAGTTCCCTTCAAGTGCACAATCACGATGCTAGTGAAACGGGTGTACATTTTAAACAAAAATGAAATACTCAAACTAAAATATAAAACTATTTGCAATAATAGAAACAGTTTATGCTCTAAAGGTTGACACATATTGAAGTGGATACATACACATTAATAATTGCAAACAAAATCTTCATTGCTCTGAACATACACATTCATATTGCTAGGTTACTGTATTGCGTTTTCATCAAGCAAAAGATTTCGGCACAGATTCTCTTTTCTTTCTAAAGAGCCAGCTCCCTAGAACGTGGTTGTCTGTAGATAGGGACACCGGTCAAATGAAGCACCGCGGCTCTGGCTGTGCTATGTGTGCTTACTTTTCTTCTTTCTCGAGTGATGTCTCTCATTAGCCAGCCTCATCAAACTCTGACAAGCTTGCTTGAGTATCGGTTTGATTACAGTGTATTGGTTCTGACCAGGCTTATCTTCCACCCCACTAGAGGCAGGGTAAACTCGTACCCCAACGTCCAGTACCCGGCTTGACAGTGGAGCTGTGTCCACTATCAATTGTGGAGGTCTAGTCGGTTAAGTTCATGGTTGCTGAACCTAAAAGTAGCGAGTTCGAACCCCCGGGCAGTTGAAGCTCGATAGCTGGGGAGTCAGTCACTCATCTGGAAGAGACAACTCCATGTTCAAACAACTGCTGACTTGTAGTTTGTTCATTGTTGGAGGCAAATTTAAAAAAGAAGAGCAGGCTGAAACCGGAGTCTATATGGCGCAAAACAAGTTGATACGTAATACTTGTGTTAGAGGGAATCCCTTCCAACACTAGAATTAGGGACGGAAAAGAAGAAGACTATGAATTGAGATAGCTGTCTGTGTCTCTCGATTGGCCACTGTCATAGCACATATTGTGGACACCCAAATGTCTTGTTTGCTACGTTTATAGCATGGGCTACTTTGTTTATTTCCTCCAAACCCATGACATGCATAGTAAATATTATAGAAAAAGACGATAAAGATATGTTCGAACAAAATCAATATACAAATACGCACACATCTATTTAGAAGAAAAATGCTTTGAAAAATTACAGATCAAATGAATGCGCACATCTTAATTCAGTATATAAACTATGTTTATTGATATAGTTTAATGTGATACACGTGTTTGAATGGGTTTGAGATATGTTGTAAATTGGCTTGAACACTAACAAACTACAATTGAAGATGAAAAATAAAGAGATCTCAGTCAGTGGTTCTAATAAAACTGTTAAAAGTTAATGAAACATGAGTATGCCTAAAAATTAATTAGGCTAAATATTCGTTAGAGGTGGAACAGTCGAGAAGTAGTTCTGGGAATTCATGCTTGCTCGAAAGAAAAGCTTCGAGTTATTGGCAGTGTGGTCATGAACTTTGAACCTATGTTACGTAGAAAACGAAGAGTAACAAATACTAAAGCAAGTAATATTTTGATGTGGTTTAACAACATAATTATTTCTGAACTTGCTGTCATATTAATCTGAAGCATCTTTAATTAATGATTAATCCTTGTAATTTTAAATGCCCGTGTGGTTTAATTTATTGTTTGAATAAAGTAGCCGTTTGGTTTGAAATGCAGCTTTACATGTGTGTCTCCTAGATGGCTTGTAAGTTTACTAATTTGGCAGGACTAGATCTAGCTGAATTTGTATCAAAATGGGTGCAAGTGATATAAAAGTACGGGGGCTTTAGAGTTTAAAAACTTGACGTAGATCAAATCCGTCATGAGTTGGGCTTTGTTTTTCTGCTAGGATTATGGTCAATGCTTATAAGAACTGTGGTTAGGGTTATGGTAGCAATACCAGAAAAACAACGAAATAGTTTGGATACTGTTGACTACAAAAGCTATTTAATCGTGTATTACACCACGCTTACACTTCCGACATGTATACTATATACAAAACAACAACAACCTCGCATTAAGTATGCAAGTTCCGTGCGGGAAAATATTTTCAAGTAACACTAACTAGTTGCGAGTTTTTATCCCCCCCCCCCCCCTAGACATGTTATAAGTGTGATGATAAAAATCTTTACACATGATCATAGGGTCCACTAAATAAGCTGTATTTGTCACACTTAAAAAATATAGGATATTAACTTGATTTTGCTCGTCCAATAATGAGTTAATTATTGTAAAATATGCGACTTTGCAAACTAGTTATTACATTTTTGCAGGTTGTGCCTGGGAAAAAATCACGGATGTAGTAGGTCTTGTAAGCCCCTAGCTTTTATATACAGCTTGTTACATTACTAGGCCTACTTTGATAAACCCGAATACAAAGTATCACATGATGAAAACTAACTTTCCAAGCACTAGTAATATGTCACTGATTAAAGAGAATAATAGCGCCGCAAAAATACGCGATTTACTTATGTCCTTCAGCTTTGACAGTGACATATTATAACACCCGCCCCCTAACTTAAGCCACACCCTCTACTCTAGTGGTGTAGTGCGAAGAACTTCATAATGCAGTTTAAAAATAGTAATTCTAAAAATCAATGGGAACAGCGCGCGCAAAAGCTTACAATACTTTTGAACACTAATTTAGCGGTGTTTAACTCAAGGTGAATTACCAACACAGCCTTTAAAATAATGTATAAAACACACATTTCATATTTTAGCTTCTTTTTGAAGCAACATTTAAATTCGAGAATTTGAATCTTGTCAATGCTTTACGTAGGAGTTGCGGTAACGGTTCGTTTCATTCAAGTTAGGTGTAATACGGCTTGTAGAATCATATGGCCAGGTAACATTTCTGAATTAAGGTAAGGTTTAAATTATACATTTAAATAAGCAACTACACAATCAGCTTAGCGTTTACTATATGTGTACATCTCATCTCATAATCAATTACTTATGTAGTTAAACATTTTTAAAAACGGCTAGGATAAATATGCATGGTAATGATTTGTAACTACGCTATTTCAATTATTAATAATTTGCAGCGATGCATTAAAACCATCTATTACAATGTTTAATGTGGAGATATACGTTTCATCGTCATCTAAAGCGCAATCAATGCTTCGGCTATCGAAACTTATTCTCTCATTGAATCGATCATACCGTAGGCATGGCTTTGATCGGGAAGGGATGGAGGCTTTTTGTGTGCGCTATTAACAGATGCTTTGTAAAAAGTATTAATTTTTATAATAAAAGTTCAAAGCCGGCTGAGTATCAGGAATTTATCGGCAATAACCACTAAAATGTAACTATAGATCTATACATAGGCGTATAAAATATATATTGCATTGACAAATCATTAGTAATTGTAGCCGCGCTAAACGTGCAAGTAGGTCCTACACCAGAGTTGCTTTCACGTATCTCTTAGGGGGGCGTGAGAGCCCCCCCCCCCCACAAAGAATGCATACCCCGCCCCTCCCCCGCACACCACCGAACGAAATAATAATTTATATACATAAAAATACTTTTATCATTGTCCTCCGCCCACCCCCCCCCCCACCCCCCCCCCCACCCCCCCCCCCCCGGAGAAAAAAGTCTGAAAGAAACACTGTCCTACACATTGAGTAGGCCTAATTCAAATTCAAGAGAAATGTAGGTTAAATTAAAAAGTTGCAGTTCGCTTTTCTTGTTGTAGCCTACATGTCAGATTGTCTTAAGGAAATCACAGCTAATATTTAGCCAGTGTCGTTAATCCTTCACATACTTTAACTTAGCGACTAACTCTGAACCCCGGCGTGGCCTTGACACTACTAACAGCGATACCGGCAAGAAAAAAAAAACCCAACAAATTGCGGCATTACCTAATCGACCGTTAACGCCGGCATTTTTTTTTTTATTTACAACTTTACTACATCGGTTCAGAAAACTCGCATGTGACATTAGTTATTTTCTTATAGAGCTCTGTGTAGCGTTAAAAATCAAAAACATAAACCTTAGTTATGAGGTTATGTATAACTTCTCTAAATATAGGACGTAACTGTTTCTATAAATATTTTCGGTAAATTAAAAATCATTTAAAAAAAAAAAAAACGATTTTTTTTTAATCAACAGGTGATTATGGGGCGCACATGAAATGTCGGGGTAGAACTAGATCTATATAATTTCAATTATAATTATATTTATATTCTTCTTTCTGTTTCGTCCGGGATGGTGGAAGTTGGGGGGAGGGGGGGGGGGGGGGATCGGTAGACTCAAAGAAACTGGTGACAATAAAAAGGTAGTTCTTCATCTCTCGGCATGTGTTCATTTTATAACATAATTTCTTAAAATATTAGATCTAAATCTAAATATAGATCTAAATTCCTTTTTTCTCAGCTTTCGTTTTTTTTTTATTTAAGGCTACTCAGAAACACACAGGTAAAAACTGGTTGCCGAGATATGGGCCAAAAACTGCATTTTTTCGAGGTTTTTTGGCTTTTCCGGGAAATCCAGGAAGGAATTCCGGGACTTTTTTTGGCCCACAATCATCCTCGGAACTTACTTAACATATTTGCTTTTGGAACTAGTCCTCGATATTACTTCGTTGAGGAGGAGATACGACTTAAAGCTGCGGACACACATCCATCCAGAAATAACGAGTTAATAATCGCAATTGTCAGTATGGAAATTGCGCTAAAAAACAACCACCAACACGTATTTGGTCAGAGTCAACAATAAAGATCGTTTCCCTCTCAGCCAGTTTCAACCAACTTAGCCAATGCCAATACAATTATTCTTTTTTGCAATTAAAATTAAATTTCTAATTGAATGAATTCTTTTTATAATCAGATAGAATCTAGATCTAGTTAGTAAGATCTACTAGATCTAGTAGTTAGAGTAGTTAATTAGCAGTTTTAGACTGTTCTCGGCCGTAGAGTCTTAGTAGACGGCTTAGATCTAGAAATCTAGATACTAGATAGATCTAGTAGATAGACTCTTAGACTTTTTAGTAGGCACTCTTAGACAAGTCTTAGACTACTCTTAGAGTTAGAGTCTTAGATTTAGGCTTGGTCTTAGAGTAGACAGTAGAGTCCAGTGTTTCTTTAAGACTTTTATTCAGACACTGTTAAAAGTATATATTTTCTCGTTCGGGGGTGTGGAAGGGGGGGGGGGGGGAGGAGGCGGTAGACTCTCTTCGGTGGGGGTGATGCCTGGAAGAAACACTGATCTAGAGATTAAGAATCTAGACTAGGCTGGAATCTAGATCTAGATAGATTATAGAGTCAAGACTAGATTCTAGACTATCTACTAACTAAGTACTAAGTAATAACTATCTAATCTAGACTAGAGTAGAGTAGAGTGTAGAGTAGGCAGTGGCGTAGCGAGGTCGGGTGTCACCCCCAGAGGCGTAGCGACCTTTCCCGGGGTCAAATTTTCTATTTGCCCCCCCCCCCCCCCTCCTCAAACTTTCGATTTGCACCCCCCCCACCTCAAGTTTTTCTCTATATATTTTGCTATTTTTTGCCTTGGTGTCAACCCCCTAAATGGTGTCACCCGGTGCGGCCCGCACCCCCCGCCCCGCCCCCCCCCCCCCTCGCTACGCCTCTGAGAGTAGGTCTAACTAATATTATCTTACTCTTAGGGGTCGTCCATAGGGAAGGAAAGGGGTCTGTAATTTTGTGACGGTGTGTGATGAGGGGGAGGGGTGGGGGTCTGATGATGGGACGTCACACTTTTGCATTATAAAACAGCATGTTAGAAAACGAATTTTAGCCGTTATTTCGCGTTTTAGAAAACTGTTTTAATAAATTGTAATAGTAATAGGAATTGATCAAAATACTCTATGTTGACGGAGTTCTGACAAGATTTTGGAAAAATATCGATGCTTTAAGAAAAATTCAACAGCGATTTTGAGGGGGGGGGGTGTAGGCTGAGGTGTGACGTCAGTACTTTCTCTACTAACTTACTCTTTTAAGACTCATAGTAGATCCTACTTAGAGATCTAATCTACATCTCAAAATATTTATTTAAATTTAAAATTATTTGACAGACGCTTTCTTACCTTTTCTGACTTCATGCTCCAACAAATCTAATCTACTAGATCTATGCTTCAAATGTTTTATCCAAAATAATTTGTTTTGATTTAGATTCAAGTTCGATAGATCTAGAATCATTCAAATACAGCAGACGCCAAAACTGAGCTATCAAAACCAAGCTATTTTATTGGATAAAGAAAAGAAACTAAAACTTATAAAACTTTTGACAAAAATGATTCCTTTTTTGAGCAATAAAAATAAGGATTGTATGCCGGAAAGGGAACCTACTGTTGGAAAACCCGATGACTATATTCCTTATCAACATTGTTATACCTTTACTCAGAAACAAAAGAGGAAGTCCTTGTTGCCTATATTATTTGCAGTTATTTTTTGCTGCTCCGTCATAATTATAATTGCATGTGTGTGCATGCTGATCTATTTTCAATTATGCATGAAAGCTTTAGAGGAAAAGCTTGAGGCGAAAGTCGAGGCTGAAGTAGAAAAGCGACTTGCAGAGGTTTTAGAAAAGAAATTTGGCAACAATGCGCCGACAAACGAACATCAGTTTGGAAAACATTCTGAAGAAAAGCAGGTAAATCTATCTCTAGCCTATAATATATTTTTATATAATTAGACTATAGGCCTATAATTTATAATATTAATATAATATAGGGCCTATAAGTAAGGCTATAATAAGTATAATTTTAAATAAGGACTATTCTAATAATTCTATAAGGCTAAAAAAAGACCTAGGCCTACATACAAAAATTAAATATTTAATAGTATTAATTTAAATTAATACAAATAATAAAAAATAATAGGGTTATCTATCGTTTAGGTACGTAAAATCGCCCGCGACTTGTAATGTGAAAAACAGGTGACTCCTTAAATTTTAATAATTATTTCACATTTTGAGGAGGATTTAGTTTTTTAAAATACAAAAATGGTTCCTTGTTTCATTTATGTAGATCTACCTGTTTTTAAACAATTGAATTAAATTTTTTCAGTAATAAATGAAGACTACCGATGTTTCCAACAGATGCAACTATGCTCATTTACTATAGCAGCCATCTTGTTTAAGTTTTATTTTTACAAAGTTATAGCGTGAGATTCAGGGGGAAGCCACTCTATTTTACAAATGGCTGCTGTTTATATAGCAAATCTTGCTCGCAGACACTGCTGTTTAAAGTTAATTTCTGGCCTAGATTGATATATTTAGCCATTGATTTAGGTTTATTATTCATTTATCTATAATATTTGAGACAAACATATCACAATAGACTTCTATTAAAGCCTTGACAATGAGGTAACGTTTTCGTACATTAATACCCGCGGGCGATTTTACGAACCCAAAATGATAGATTACCCAAATAGGCCTAATCTAAGTAAGACATAGACCTACAAGTAGATAAGTAGGCCTATGTATTTTAATTAAAATTGTTTTTTTTAGTTAGACTAATTTCATTAGTAAATACTTAAAAGCCTTTTTTTTTGTTTTAGTTGACCCTAATTATTTCTGTTTTTATTTTATTTTAGGCTTTGTTTGATGGGTCTAACTCTATGGACTTCAGGCAGATCATACGAAGTAAGAGGGAAAAGAAGGCTAAAAAATTTGGTGAATACTTGCATGCCTTGTATTGCTAACTGGCTTAAAACGCCAGAACTAGTATCTAAACTGCTCTAGTTTGTCATGGTGTGATAATTAGTGGCTCATAAAATCCATAATAATCAGATGATATGACTTTAGCCAGGAATGGTTGGTTTGGTTGAGAGGTTAAGCACATTTTGCCTACTAACCTGAAAGTCTCTAGTTTGGATCATAGACTTTCCATTGAATCTCTTTAAATCCACTCAGCACTGGTTACTACATAATATAAACCTACTTGAAAAAAATTAAAGGCTGACCAAAAAAATCCCTTTTATATGACAAAGTCAAAACAAACAAATGAACTATACCACATATATATCCCTTGTACTGTTTTTTTTACTTAGAGTTTGCTACATATATTTTAAAGTATTTGAATGGTTATTAATATTAATAAATGGTAATAGTACATTTTGAAAGTTTTTCAAACATGATAGTTTTAATTAATTCAATCAATATAACTGTTTTTACTTGTTTTTTTTTTTTCCAATCAGGATCCAAGAGAAATGTTCAAGTAAGTAGCATTTGTTTTTCAACTTGTTGCCAAAAAACAAATTTATACCAAAAACTGCATGTTGTTCATACCAGTTCAATCAATTCAATACCCCTGTTTATGTTGAATTGAGGGGTGGTAGGGGCAGTTAGCAGCCATATGCTCTATCGACAACCCCATGTGTGATTTACTACCATTGCAATAATTGTGATAATTATGATGCATAAACCTTAACATAAAATATAACACTGTTAACAGAGACCTACAGCAATGTTCATCCATATGCAAGGCAGGGATTCACAGAATATAATGGATAGTGGTAAAGGATGTTTTTAATAAATATTATTTAATAACATTAAATTGGATATTTCAGAGATTTATAAAGTTGGTCTATATACAGCTTGCTTTATTGTTTATAATGCTATAAATTAAAATTTAAATAATGTTTAGTTGAAACTTTAAAATGGAATTGATTTGTTCTTATTTAACTATGTAAAAAAAAGAGATTTTCAGTAACATTATACAAGCCCTTATTTTTCTTATACAGAATCAAATTTTATTTGGAACTATGCAGAGCATAGGTGGAGCACTGGTTTTGGTATTGTTTTGGACCCTAGGACTGGGTCAGCATCAAAGATTCGCATCAAAGAAAGAGGCGCTTATCTTGTGTATTCACAAGTCGCCGTACATGGACAACAAAGTGGAAACATTAGGTAAATTTTAGATTATTTTGTTTATTTTAGTTGTTTGTGCATATTGAAGAGTTTCTCTGTTTTACAGTCAAGCTTCCGAATAGACCTTAAAAAATTAAATCCCTTTACACTTACAATAACATTTGAAATAAGATTACCACCTAAAAATTATTTTTAAAATTTATTTTTGTGGTCAGTAGCAAGTGACTTCACGCTGAGTGTAAAGGGAAGGAAAGAGGAGTTAGATTTTAAAATTTTAGGCCTGTTTTTGATTTGATTTATGTAACAAATTTCCCAAAAAACACTGAGCGTCCACAGATTAGTGTTGTACATGAAACAAAAAATTGAAACTTTATTCTAGCCAACCAGTGGACTGTGCCCACCAAACTATCTTGAAGGAGCCAGAGAAGAGGAAAAGGGTGCTGTTAAGGAGTCTCATCACACAGTATAAGCTGTAGGTATTTTCTTTGGTGACCAGAAAGATGTGCAGCGGAAAAATGCACTACAAAAAAACTGAGCACAAAAAAGTGCACAAGTGCATTTTTGTTTTTCTAAAAATCAAGCATTTATAGACATTAACAAAGAGTGAATATATGTATATTGTAGCATAAAAACAAATTTCCACAAAATTTGACAAAATTAAAGTATATGAGTATAATTAGTTTATTTTTGTGCATTTTTCTGTTTGCGCAGTTTTCCGCTGCCCAGTTTTCTGATTGCATATTTTTCTGGGAACCATTTTCTTTACATTTTAGTTCTAGATTTTTAAACTTTCATTAATCTTTTAATTGTATATGACACTGACTTATACAAAGAACTATGTAAAATAGGGCTGTGTAGATTTACTTCCTTACAGTTACAAAGCTGTTATGAGGGGTAGCAGATTACTTCTTCTTCGTTCTTAATTATTAGTGTTGAAGGGGATCAAGATTTATCTGCCAGTGGGTTTGAACTCGAGACTTTGTTCGAATTTATCAACCAATAGCAGATTACAATACTTAACTTTTTGGAGCACAGTAAGTTATTCAATTGGTTCAGGAAAAGATGAAGTAGAGTTCATCTGTTTATTTTTTCACCTTGTCTTGTGATAGCACTTTCCCTGACTCAAATCAGTTACTCATTAGAGCTGGGTGGAGTCAGTGACTCATAGCTGGGTGGAGTCAGTGACTCATTACAGCAGTGTGGACGAAGGAATATTCAACAACCTTATCCCAAGGAAATGTAATCAAGATCTTAGTATTTGTGTACTCTAACACTGAACAATGCTATTTATTTGTTCTACATTCCAGAAGAGTTCTTGTTAAAATATTTGCTTTTATTAGACTACAACTTGATAACTAAATATTTATTCAATCAACAGTGGCGCTTCTTATGATACTAATACAATGGGGGAATCTCTGCATGCTATTGATACCAAGCTACAGATGGGAGTGTTTCACTTGAAAGAAAATGATGAACTGTTTGTAAGTTTCTCTGATCATTGCCATAGAGTTAACTATACCATGAGGCCGGAACATTCCTATTTTGGTGTGGCCAGGATAGGCTGAAACAAGTCACGCTAGGACTGAAGACAGAACCAGATAAAAACCTTTCTCAAAGATTATAATTCAAAATATTTAGATGTTATTATTAAGTCTTTAACAACATGTTTTTCATTGTTTTATTATTTAATACAAAAATGTGACAGCTCTTAACTACACCTTTGAATTTTGAGTTAAAATATGAAAGACTTCTACTTTAACCTTCTATGTTTACAAATAATTTTTTAAAAGGTATTTGTATTAAAGCAGCACTAGCTGTGTGTGCAAATAGATTGTCTTGTGGCACAGAAATGTCCCATAGTATTTGCATTTTTTGTTTTATATTAGGAAGGAAATGTTGCTGCTTAAAATAATTGTTTACATTCTCTTGAGTTTCAGGCAGTTTGGATTATGTTATTAATTCATTCTCGGTAAAACACTTTTCGTCTTTCATAAAACATTAAATTGTTACAACCACAACAAGATTTCATAATGGTTTTCTGAAATTTAATTGATCAATTATTTCTTCTATTAATTTTAAAATGTTTGTACCATATTGTGTATAATGTAAATAGTTATTTTTCTTTAAGTCTAGAAGTATTTTATTACAATCTTCTGTCACATACAACAGGTGGCATATCCTTTTTGTATTGATTGATAAGGATTGTAGCTAGAGTGTGATTTTTATACCTGCAGCAAAATATTTTATTTTAGATATTGCTTTATTGTCGTTAATTGGCTGTAACCTAATTAACTGATGTAATTTTATACCAATTGGTTATAATGTAATTGTAATTTCAATTATCATTCCTTTTACAAAATGACCACATTAAAATATATTTTTTTAAACAAGGCGGTTTTCATATTGTTTTTCTGTTTAAATTACAGCCAATTATGGTTAATTTTAAATTAATGTAACCAAAAAGTTATATACATTATGAATATTTTTAAAAATATAATTACTACTTCAATATTTGCCAAATAATTTTTTAGATCATTTTTGTAATAATTATCTTTTGCAATTAACAGTAACATAGAAGTGATCAGTTTTGGTAATGGTATTAGGTACAACACATCAATAAATTGATGTTTCAAATAAAAAACAAACAAGTACACTATATTTTTGTACTATAATAACTAGGTTTGCGCATGCATGCCTACAAGTTCAAGATTTCATGTGGTTTCAAAATTTGTACTATCTACCACTGGAAAGAATGTTGGTATTGATAAAAGGTTGTTGGTTGTTTCTAAAACGGGATGCTGTGGTCTAGCCGTAGAATGCATTCTTGCGTACCCAATGTCAGGCAGACATTACCAAACGAGCTTTGGTTTTTCCTCGACTGAAAAGACCCCATATCCAAATCACACAGTGCAATGCAGTCTGGGAGAAAGAAATAGCCCTGTGGAAATCCTTGCATCTAGAGCCTTCAACTTGAGTACAAGAAATGCTAAATTCTTCATTTTATTTCATCAGTTTGACTAAATGACACTGAGTGTTTGGGTTTGCTGTAAGAGGGCTTCATCTGTTCACACCATTATCAACCATTGTGGGCTTACCACTACCAATACCACCTCTTATAGCTTAACACTTGGTCCCACTACCAATATCCCTTCCTATAAGTTAACACTTAGTCACAGACAGTGCAATATACTTAACAGGATACTAATTTCTTCCTATTCTAGACTTTATTCAAACCATTACTAACAACAGTCTAGTCTTCAAGTGGACTAGTCATTGACAGGACACTGATTTCTTCACACATCAACAGCAGATACCGGACTCACTTATTTGATACCTAGCTCCCAACTCACTAGCTTTCATTTGATGGCAACAACGTTCTTTCTGCCTTCTGTGTCACTATCTCTCTATATAACATCTTCATTCATTCAACCAATCTTCGCTCTCACCAATCAATACTTACAGAACTTGTAACACAACAGACACATTATCTAGTTAAACAGGTACCTGCTAACAAGTCCAGGTAACTTGCAGTCAATGTTCCCTCTAAGAAGGAAAAGCTAATATGCAAAATGTATTTTTTATGCGCGGTGTTGTAAAAGTCTTATACAAGGATAAATTTATTTTACAAAATCACTGCCCCGCAGCTCAAAACTGCGCAGCTTAGAGAGAACATTGCTTGCAGTGGCTGCAGGCGTAGGTATTCTTGTATATCTGGTGTATTTTATACAGCCTATTAGTTGGTTACAGTCAACCACTTCATTCTTACACACAACTGATCTCTAATTTACCCTAGACTCCATCAAAATCTACGATGAATTATCATTCATACCTCTTTTATACTCACATTCAATAAAGGGAGAAATAATACAACAATTCATGGCTAAACTCCACTTACAAATGCACTATCCCAGTTGTTCTTAACTATGTCTAACCCAGCCCTAAAATTATAAGTAACAAGCATCAAACAAATGTACAATTAATTTTAGTGAAATACCAAGGGACACAATCTGCATACATAGTAAAATTTTAAATTTTGATAAATATACAATTAAATTTAGTAAAAAACCAAGGGAGTACATCATCTTACATTTCTGGTAAAAACTCATTTTAGTATAAAATAAATGTACAAAATTCAGCAAACACACTCTGTGAACTAGAGCTAGTATACAATTAAATTCATCATAGTGGGTCCAACTAATGAACAATTTTCATTAGGCCCAAATGTACAATTAATTGTAGTATAACACATACAACAAATTAATTTGAGCAAACATCAAGTGAATCTGTGTACATAACTAGTATAAAATTAATCTTAGTATAGGACAATTCTTATTTAAGCACAGCACTATGTTGATGTACTATGCATATGCCGATAATTACTTTTAGCTCTAATGAGCAAGTGATTGCAGAACCAAAATATATTTACACCTGCCTTTGGCTGTTTATAAAAGCACAAGCAGTTTCAAATCCTGCCTTACCACTCTCTGATTGTAGCAGTTCAGGGACCAGAGTGTCGGCATGGTAACCACCATAACCAAAATGTAAGGTCACACTAACTCCTGCATCTTTCAACCTACGAGCATACATTAATGCGTCGTCACGTAGTACATCAAACTCACAAACATGGATGTAAGCGAGAGGTAACCCAGACAGGTCTGGCGCCATCAGGGGAGAGAAGAGAGGATTAACAATGATTGGTTCAACTTTGGCTGCAACTTGGGGGTCATATGGTTCTGTGACAACAGGGGCTGTCTTGTTTGGTGTTCTGAACTCTTTGGGCAGTAAGTTAACATTGACGTACTCTGAATATTTTGATTTCCTAAACTCAGGGGAAATGTGTCTGTTTTCTGAGAATATTTTGGCATAGTAGTCTGTTTTATGTTCATCTGTGGATAGATAATTTAAATATCAACATGGATAACAAGTCAGGTAACTTAAGTTTCTGTGTGGGATTCCACAGATGAGTTGGGTGATAAATCTGATGATTCCATTATGGTGATGGGACAAACCAGTACAACCATCAGATAAAAATGAAGTGGTTATTTCAGATTTAATGGTCAAATGTCCAGATGTTGTTTATCTGTCAGGGTCGCTTATGCCTAAGAAAGAATTGCACTATCAACACTATGTCCATTCAACTTTACTTTCCACAATTTTACCCATGTACCAATCAGAGCCTGGCTAGTAAATGTGAACTTAATGACTTGACTAGGGGACAGCGTGGCCTGGTGGTAGAGTGCTAGACTGCTAACCTGAAAGTCTTGAGTTTGAATCCGGTTTCAAAACAATAGAACGTCCCTGAGTCCACCCAGCTCTGATGGGTACCAAATTGTAAATTAGGGAAACTAAAGGCAGCTGGGCATAGTGCTGACGACATTATCCCTTCATTTGCTGAGGTCACAGACACAGGTGAACTCTACTTCACTTGCCCTATGAACCATCAAGTTCAAAAAGGGAACTTAACTTAGGACTTGACTACATTGTCAAATCTTAAGTTTTGAGCCTGTATGTAAATCAAAACTACAATTTGTTGGAATAACAATCTTCTTTCTCTTAGCGGACGCCCTGCAAAACCAACATCAAGATTTTTCAATTTGCTTTTTATAAATTTTAAAATATCTACTATTTTTTTTTTACATAACTATGCTGTCCAGACTTTCAAATTACAGTGTTATAACCTCTTAAACAGTACATTTATCAAGAACTAAAATATTTTCTTATAACCCTAGAGCCTTAATGCAGTAAAGTAAGTTCTTCAAAAGGCGATGGAGTGATCTAGCGGTAGAGAGCTGGACTGCTAACCCGTAAGTCTCGAGTTCGAATCTGGGTTCAAGTCAGTAGACTGTTCCTGAGTCCACCCAACTCTGATGAGTACCTAACTCACGTTAGGGAAAGTAAAGACGGCTGGGCATAGTGCTATCTCTTCATATGCTGAGGTCATAGAAACAAGTGAACTCTACTTCACTTGCCCTCAGGTTTGAATAGGGAACTTTTCTAAGTTCTTAAAAATAATTGTAAAAATGTATATTACCTAGACCAAAATACAGGGATCGAAATGAAGCCGAGAGCTTAGCTGTGAGACAGGGCATGGTGTTTTGATAATCCACATAGGACGGCAGCCTAAAGTCAAAGCCTTGCAATGATGGGTAGGAGAGGACCTGAAACTTTAACAAGGGAAGATCCGGCCTTGTTTTTGTAAGTATAAGGGCCACAACTGCTGCAGCATTACCACCTGCACTCTCACCTGCAACATTTCTTAACACTTTATTTAAAATTACATACAAATATATTATATAAAGGTCTATTATTATATATATTAAATATGCAATATATAAGATTATAAATAGCTATAAAAAATATTAGATTTTTAAAAACTTGACACTATTAGATTAACGCAAATATATACAGTAGAATACAGTAGAATTTTGGCTAATAAACCAATAATTGTCCTTATAAAATAATTGAGACAGTCATACACTAACAACAGGGGTCGGCGTGGTCGATTCGGTAAAGCTCATGGTTGCTAAACCGAAAAGTCTCGAGGTTCAAACCCTCGGGCAGATGAGTCTCGTTAGCTGGGGACAGCCACTCTTCTAGGAGAGACAACTCCAAAATTAAACAACTGCTGCCTTGTAGTTTGTTCTTGGTTGGACAAAGGCTATGGAAGCAAATCCAAAAAGAAAAGCAGGCTGAAATCGGAGTCAATGGCCTCAATGGCGCATAATCATTTGAAACGTAACGCTTAATTGTGTTGGAGGCGTGGTCGAGTCGGCAAAAAGCTCATGGTTGATAAATTCGAACAGTCTCGAATTCAAACCTCGATCCGCTTCAACACTAATAATTAAGAACGAAGAAAAAGAAGAATACACTAACAACATTGAATAAAATATTCTTTAATGCTCTATCCAGGGATGTAACATTGTTTTCTGATTAGGGGGAGTATGGAGTTGCTTATATAAATAAAAATGCCCGAAATCCTTCTCGGTTATGATAAACATCCAGTTTCAATAGCTTAAATAATTTAAGTAAAACAACCTAATCTTTGACAAAACTGACACTGTCCTATATCAATAGTACTTGCCACTTCCTTTGTTAGACTAGCTAGACCTCCGTTCTCATTGAAAAACATTATTTTCATTGGGCCTTTGAATTAAAATCCAATGGTTACCTGCAACACCGATACTGTTAACATCAATGCCGTATTCATCTCCCTTCTGTAGAATGTATCTTGTGACGTCTAGGCAGTCTTGGATGGGAATAGGAAAGGGGAACTGAGGTGCTCTTCTGTAGCTGTGTTTAAAATTTAACATACGTGTATTTTTAAAAAACAAATATTAAAGAATTTTTGTAACAAAAACAGTAAAAATAAAAACCAAATTTTTGAAGCAATCACTTACTTCAGTAAATAAGTGGGGAATCAGTAAATATATCATTAAAAATTTAATAAAATATTTTTAAAACCATGCCCACATAAAAGTGAAAAGGCCTATATAACGGCATTTTGACAAAAAGAACTAATAACTTAATCATTTCGGTGTAGGTGTCTTTGGGAAAAAGATTCAGTCTAAGTAAGCTATATCTAACGACAATCTAACTTTGAGTTAAAACAATTAAAGTTTTAGCCTTTAGTAAACAAGGCTAAAGTATATTATAACAATATTGCATAAAATGTGTCACATTTTAACCACTGAGAAGAATAGCTTAAAAGGTAGCATAGAGAAGAATAATAGAATAAATGGGAAACAAAAACAAATAGCAATAAAATAAATAGCAAATTATCTTGCACTTACTCAACGTTAATGACAGTCATATTCGTTGCTTTAGCATAGTTGTAAGCTTTTGTGTCCATTTCATCTAAACAAATAAACAGACATTATAATTATCTTGAATGATGAAATCAAATCACAGGTATATATTGTAAACATAATATTGTAATTAATAATAATAAAAACAAATAATTTTGAATAATTTTTACAACTTACTGACTTATCAATGAACATTTAATACTTGTAATGTTTTTACATGATTACTTTAATATTAAAATATGAGAAATGAAAGATGAGCTAACTTTTTACCAGCAGTTCCTAGCACCCATCCACCACCATGGAAGTAAATCAATGCAGGTGAATATAGTTCTCTTGTTGGTGGTCTGTAAATAATGACGGGAACATCAGCTATTTTATCTCTCGTCACCTATGAAAAGGAAATTAGTTTTAAATAAATATTGAAGGACCAAATGGTTAATAAAAATATTTTACTTTTGGCTTTACTCCACTCAATTTTATCCTTAGAGTCGAAAATCGACAATAAATAGTGTTTGAAATCTTCAGTTCATGTAAACAGTGAAATCTTCAGAATATAGCTTAAAGCAATCATGTGCATATCAAGTAACTCAATGGTATAGTGGAGTGTGGTTTACCATTTTTTAAAATGGGGTAAGGTAGTATAGGGCAATTTTTTATCACAATTCCCAAGATATTCTTTATTCTGTGTTGTTTTTTTTTTGTTTTTTTTGTGTGCCAGATTTTGGCAATTTAAAAGCTTGGACGAATAAGTTAATGTTTTGGCTTGCAAACCTTTTAACAGTTTAAAATTTTACCATATTATCTTCTAATGAAAATGTATTTTAAAAGTATTCTTATGGTTGATACAATTTAATAATTAATTTATTTATAAATTCAGACAGTTTTTGTAGCATCAAGGTGTACCATGGCATATGAGAAAAATAGTTTCTGTAAATCTATGTTTATCCTGTGCAGGATGGTCTATGAAAATGTTCTTTATAAAACAATATATGGGAAAGAGGGGGGGGGCATTTTCAAATTATAAAGTATTACACCAAATAAGAATAAAACCTACTTTTATATCTCCATACTTAGAAGAAGGAGGGTCTCCAACTAAAGTTCTCTCACGCTGAAGCACTCTAATATTGTTGTATACACTGCCATAGCCTAAGTACTCTCTGACTTGCATCTGTAAATACAAGTTGTGTAGACAAAGGTAATTTTTAAATGCTTTCTTAATTCTCATTTCAACATAACACGAAATCATGTACGCCCTATATGTGTTTAAACACAAAGTCTACATATTAACAATAATATCTGATGCAATATCCTATTAACAAGAGCAAAGTTTCTTTTGGACATTTCTTTCCAGGTGAGGCAGTGTTGTCGCACCCCCATTACCCCCAATCCAAATAAATCTCCAACTCTACTACTGAGGCAGTAAATTAAGGACATTGTGTAGGCAAAAATATAATTTTCTTGCTGACTTGTATATAATCTATATATATATAATACTCTTCTTGGAGACGCTAGAAAACACCAAGCTGTAAGCGCGCTCCCTACCACCCCCACCCCTACATGGTCTGGTGAGCTGTGGTTCACGCTAAATGTTTACAAGCATAGAGCCGGGTTTAGTGACGGCTATTGGGGGTAGATAATTTAGTTTGAAACGATTTTAAACTTAGGGGAGGTAACTAAGAGGAGCTTACTTTTACAGGGGGTGTGGGGTAGGGGTTGGGGAAAGGAGGGGGGTTATCGTCCTTAACGAGCTACTGATAGTGTTTTAAAGCAAATATTTTCAGTGGCAGCATTGGTACTGTCGAATTAACAAATTATGAATTACTGAAAAGTAGAAAATAAAACAACTAAATAGCGGTGTATGATACGCCGCGGGTCAGCTCGTCCATTATAATACAAATACCTGAAAGAAAATCAGATGGCTAACACTAACTGTTTTAAAATTATAAGGTCCTTAAAACTAATAAAAATCCAAAATAAAATAAAAAACTTGAATGAATAGTTACAAACCCACCACAATATGGAATATTTTGAAACATCCCATAAATATCTGTGTTTTGACAGGATCTTTAACTCCTGCAGGTAGTGGAGTGTAACCTATGATTGCCAATGCCACAACTGATGTGGTAAGTAGAGTAATAATTATCTTTAGCCACATGTTGCACTTGTGAAGAAGGTCAGTCACCTAAAAGGAAAAACATAGTAGATTATAGTTCATGTTAGATCTTAACAATGAACACCAACATGCCAAAAGTAAAACACAGACACTCTAAAAGTAAAACACAGACACTCCATAAGTAAAACACAGACACACCAAAAGTAAAACACAGACACACCATAAGTAAAACACAGACACACCATAAGTAAAACAGACACACCAGCAGTAAAACACAGACACACCATAGGTAAAACAGACACACCAACAGTAAAACACAGACACACCATAAGTAAAACAGACACACCAACAGTAAAACACAGACACACCAACAGTAAAACAGACACACCAACAGTAAAACACAGACACACCATAAGTAAAACAGACACACCAACAGTAAAACACAGACACACCATAAGTAAAACAGACACACCAACAGTAAAACACAGACACACCATAAGTAAAACACAGAGACACCATATGTAAAACAGAAACACCATAGTAAAACACAGACACACCATAAGTAAAACACAGACACATCATAAGAAAAACACAGACTCACCAAAAGTAAAACAAAGACACAAAGTAAAACAGACACATCATAAGTAAAACACAGACACACCATAAGTAAAACAGACACACCAAAAGTAAAACACAGACACACCATAAGTAAAACAGACACACCAACAGTAAAACAAAAGACACACAGTAAACATTCAAGATATATTTAGAATTTTAAAAATCGGTGTCTTGAACTGTAACACAATTTACTAGGTCTGCTTGTTGTAGACATTTAAACATGTATCACCAGAATAAATATAGACATGTCAGCCATTTTATTTTAATATATTTTAATTTTGATTACTTCTTATTCTCTGCTAATGTTATGAGAAGGAGCAATACTGACATATAATAAAAACAAAATTTTAGTGCTAATGTCTGTAACATATTGGGATTTGTGAGGTCAGGGGAACTCACTCTTCTTGTATTAGTTATATTTATAATGTTGTTATTGAGTGATGTCCCTTGTATTTATCTATCATTGTTCCTCTTCCGGTTAACAAATAAAGAGGATAAATAATCCTCTAGAAAGAGCACCTAATTATTCAAAAAGAGGTTTGCTAGAGCATATTGGCTAAGTATTTCTAGAATAATGGCGCTGTATGGCCAAATAAAAGAATTTGATTCGAATGATGAAACCATTCATGATTATCTAGATAGGTTAAGCTTTTACCTTGAAGTTAACGACGTGATGATAGAAGCCAAAAAGAGAGCTGTTTTGTTAACAGTCATAGGGCCTCAACAATTTAGGCTACTAAAGGACTTATGCGCACCAGCTAGTCTAACTACCAAGAGCTTTAACGAACTGAGCAAATTGCTAACAGACCACCATGCGCCCACACCATCAAAGTTTCTATGTAGAGCTAGATTTGACGGTAGGACTCGTCAACCAAACGAGTCAATATCAGAATATGTTGCTGCTTTACGTCATCTAAGTAGATTCTGTGAATTCGGAGACACGCTGTCTGACAGACTATGTGAAAAGTTTGTGACAGGTGTAAACAGCCCTGATATTCAAAGAAAGTTGCTGCTCGAGTCAGATCTAACATTAGAAAAAGCAATACAACTAGCAACTTCATTCCAGCAGTCATCCGAGGCGGTGAGATCTCTAGCACCTTCAGAGATCCATGCAGTAAACAGCAGGTTAGTCAACAAACACCAACCCCATCAGAGCATTTCAACTTATGCTAAACAGCCTGCACGTTTAAAGCCTAGATCTAAATCTAGTAATAATTATCAAAAATGTCATCGATGCAAAGGTCCCCATGCATCTCATCGATGCAAGTTCAAGTCAGCAACTTGTTATAAGTGCAGTAGGCAAGGTCACATTGCCAAGGCCTGCTTTGCAAAGTCTTCGTCTGTTGCTAAATCTAGCCAGTCAAGACAGTACCGCAACCAAAGGCAGCACTATGTTAACTCTCACCAAGACTACCTAACCCAACCAATGAACCACTCTACCTGTGAAAATGCTCAGACTGATTCGCAACCGGATTTCACCCTGTTCTCTGTGAAATCAATACGTCATGCTCCCATCAATGTGCTAGTTAATATTAATGGTAAGAGCATCAGCTTCCAACTTGACACTGGAGCATCTCTAACAGTCATAACAAAGAAAGATTTTGACGCTGTCACAGGAGGATCAGTGCCTCTACAACCATGTCACAAGTGTCTAACAACATACACTGGTGACAATGTTCTGGTAATAGGAGAGTGTATGGTTCATGTAAGTTATAATGGTCAAAGTGTTAAACTTCCTCTTCTTGTGGTTGAAGGAAATGGACCACCATTACTAGGTAGGAACTGGTTAAGTGATCTTAAGTTAAATTGGGAGAGTATATGTTCATGGATCAATGCAAAAGAATCTAGTCTTACTTCACTAGATAAAGTAATATCTGAAAATGAAAGTGTTTTTGGTAATCCTGGATTACTAAATGATAGAACAGTGAAGTTAAGCATTAAAGACACAAATCCAAGATACTGCAAAGCTAGAGTTCCACCTTATGCAATGAGGAATAAAATTGAAAATGAGCTAAGTAGATTGGAATCTAATGGCATCATAAAGAAGGTAGACTATTCCGATTGGGCAACGCCCATTGTGCCAGTGTTAAAGAAGGATGGTTCTATAAGAATTTGTGGAGACTATAAAACTACACTGAATAAGCAAATAGAGCTAAATAGGTACCCTATTCCTAACATTGAGGAAATTTCTTTGAATTTGGCAGGAGGAGACAAATTCACTGAATTAGACTTTAGTCATGCTTACACTCAACTAGAACTGCATCCAGATTCAAAAGTCTATACGACAATAAACACACATAAAGGACTCTACCAATATGAAAGACTATGTTTTGGTATATCATCCAGCCCTGGTATTTTCCAGGCTGTCATGGACAGTATTTTTAAGGATATTCCAAATGTTTGTGTTTACTTTGACAATGTGTACATAACTGGTAAGAATGACACTGAACATCTTAAAACACTTGATAAAGTATTGAAAGTAGTTGGTGAAAAAGGTTTAAAGATAAACAAAGATAAATGTCAATTCATGCTGACAGAAATTAGTTTTCTTGGTTATATATTAAGCAAGCAAGGCATCAGACCTCAACCTGAGAAAACAAAAGCCATTAAAGAAGCACCCAAACCTGAAAATACCCAACAACTAAGAGCTTTTTTGGGCTTGATAAATTACTATGCAAAGTTCATAGGGAATCTGTCTGGTAAACTATCACCACTGTACAAGCTGAAAAAATGCAACTTGGCACTGGGGTAAACAACAAGATACTGCTTTTAATACAGCAAAAGAAGCTTTGTCTTCTGACACCTTACTAACTCACTATGACCCAGGGAAAAGACTTATATTAACATGTGATGCTTCTCCAGATGGTGTAGGAGCAGTCTTGTCCCACATGGATGAAAAAGGTGACAGACCCATTGCTTTTGCTAGTAGATCTTTGAACCAGGCTGAGAAAAATTATTCTCAGTTAGATAGGGAAGGCTTAGGCATCATTTTTGGTGTTAAGAAATTTCATAAGTTTCTGTTTGGTAGGAAGTTCACCATCTTTACAGATCATAAACCATTGCTAGGTTTATTTGGAGAAAACAAAACCCTACCTGAGCATGCCTCACCAAGAATTCAAAGATGGGCTATCACACTAACTGCATACAATTATGAATTGAAATACAAACCTGGATCTGAGAATAGTGCAGATAGTCTTAGTAGATTACCTTTAAAAAACCAAAGCCTTAGCTATGTACCAGAAGATGTATTTGTTCTCTTCACTATCATGGATAACTCCAATATAAATGTGAATGATGAGTGCTTAATAAAAGTATATGAGTACTGTAAGAATGGTTGGCCTGAAGAGTCTATGAATGATGACTTAAGGCCATATTAAATAAGAAATAAAAACCTTTGTGAAGATAATATAAAAGATGGAGAAGATGCAGTCCATTATCAGTCAGAGTTGCCTAAACAAAGTATTTGTAACTTAATAAATGATTATGGTGATATGACAATTTCAAATGCTTTTAAAGAAAATACATTAGTAAGAAGGAATGTGATCATCAAACAACTTTGCTAACATCATTAGCACTTACAGAAACTAAAAGAAACTAAAAGGGTAACATCAAAAGAAAAAAAAAAAGATTTTTGCCATTTAATACACCCACTTCAAATACTGGATCACAGTTGCAAAGTGATATGGTCCAGGATATTACTTTTAAATAGTATTTTTGGTTACTAAAAAGCACTATCAGATTACCTGAGAAAATTGATCAATCAAAGAAATCTATGTCAGTCAAGGATCTGAATAACAGCATAATACTTCCAGATGCCAATTCAAAAATAGTTCCATTAAATCATGACAAAACATGTATTGAAAGAGAATTTGGTGTTAATGAGAATGTGTATCTAAGAAACTATGGGAGAAAGGAAAAATGGATACCAGGTCAAATTGTTCAATGTACAGGACCTGTGTCTTATAAAGTAAAAACAAATGATGGACTTATTGTCCGTAGACATGCAGACCAGTTAAAAATAACTTGTGCAGATAATAAGTGTGAATCTATCAATCCCACCAAATCTGATCAGTTCACACCAACTCAGTTTGTTCCACAACCAAGTTCTGTTGATATGAGTGAACCAAGTAGTCTGGAGTCAGAAAATGTAAATTCTGGAATTAATGATTTAAATCCTAGACCTCCTGAGATAGAGAATCCATATGGTCAGAATCTTGAGTCACCAAATCAAAAGCCACTGAGAAGGTCAAACAGGACAATCAAAGTCCCAGATAAGTTAGACCTATGATTTTAAAGGTCAAAAGGACTTTGACATCATTGTTTTGTATCTTGATTATGTTGTAGCATATTGTGCATTGTTTGTAAGGATGTAATCTACCATAGAGTTCATGTTACAATATAATTTCTCATTGGTGATTTTAGGATACTGTAAATTGTTCTATTGAGAGATGTGTTGTGTTTACTAAGGGTAAAGGGATGTAACATATTGGGATTTGTGAGGTCAGGGGAACTCACTCTTCTTGTATTAGTTATATTTATAATGTTGTTATTGAGTGATGTCCCTTGTATTTATCTATCATTGTTCCTCTTCCGGTTAACAAATAAAGATGGCTACATGCTGATGGCTTCTGTCTCCGTTGTGTAATTCCTAATCTATTATAATGTCAAACTCCCTTCTTTCTTCAATTCCCCTCTCCCCCCCTTCCATTACCAACCATTGGCGTAGGCCTACCTATGTTATTTACTGTTATTTACCCCCACCTCCTCCCACCCACCCACCCCCTCCCACCCCCCCTCCCACCACACCCCCCCCCCCCCCACCACACCCCCCCCCCCCCCAACAAAAAAACACCAACAATTTTACCGGTTCCCTTGCTAAAGCCTTGCTATAAGCTACCACAGTACCAAACCAATTTCGCCATCGATTATTGACTTTTTTTTTATAATTTGCCAAACGCCCCCATGAATAAGGCTATTTACTATTTATATTCATAATGCATTCAATGGTTTGGTGAAATAATATTAGAATATGATGGTCCCACCCGGTATTCAACATAATCTTTCTAGTTTTTACTATGAAATTCAGTGGCTTACACACGTCTACCTGACGATAAACAACTAGATCTAGAATCTAGATCTAGGGCCTTTAACTTTTTAATCCTTAAAGTTAAAGACAGGGCCTTTAATATTAATAAGTATTAAGTTAGAGTCGAATCTGTGTTAGGCCTATGATATAATTATTAATTAACGTTGACTTACGTAGCTACTACTACTAGATCTAGATATACCAAATTATAAAAATTATAATACTTATAATAGATCTTGTTTTTTCTTTCTAGATTTAGATAATTCAGCTAACAGTAACAGTAACTCGTGCTTTGTCAGTTGGCTTCAGTGAAAGGTCTGTAGGCTCGCACATAGATGAATGCACTGTGGCTTGACGAATGCAGATCTTACACACAGTGTGTGACACAGTCGATGTTGATTTACACGTTGACCTAATGAGGTGTGGTGTCACTAATCCTACTAGACTGGTTCTAGATCTACTACATAATATAGGCCCTAGTTTCAGTGATAAACGAAAATGCTTTGTCACGTGACATACGACAGGTTAATTGTTGACATTAGGGAGATGGTGGGTTATTTATAGTAAAGTTATAGCTACTGACCTGGTTTGCTAGCCTAAACTCATTTTAATGGGTCACTTTTCAAGATATTTTATCTTTTCAAGCCATTGCATAATCATGGGGCTATGCCAATCCATTTTAGTATAGCCCTCAATTTTTTAATTTGCATTCAATAGGCCTATCTGTAAATAGGCTTCCATTAATAATATATGCTGTATATAAGCTATATACTTTATATTATTTTTATAAAGGCCTATAAATTATAAAATGGCCTACATCCTCTTGTAGGTTTAAGCTGGAGACATTGATGAGACAACTATACAATATACATAGGCCTTGCAAACCACACAAAAAATTACTTTGTAAAGAAATTAACGCCTACTAATTGGGCAGCCAACTACAATTTTTGTTTTTAGGATTAGCCTTGAATGTTAAAGAAACCAGTTATTTTGCTTTGGATAACATTTTTATGGGGAGGAGGTGACACCAAAACAAAAAATTTTATTGATAAAACATTATATCAAGTAGAATAAAATATCTGTAAAAAGGGGGTGCAAAAAATTGAAAATGCAATATGTGTCGAGGGTTGTTGGGTGTGTGTGACATGAGTTTCTGCATCGTGACCTCTGAACTACTGATGCAACTGAACACACACTGTATATAAATAAAACATTACAAGAAGAATGTTGATATATTGTAAATTTTATTTATAAATTTTAAAAAATGTGTTTATATTTTTATTTACAAAACATACAAAGGTAAGTATATAAGCCTATAGTTACATATTATATTTTCTTAGAGTTTTAAAATGCGAGTAATAAAATCACAAGCTGTTTTAAAACCATCTCTTCCACTTTGAGATCCCATGATGTCAGGAAACATGGTATCACCATGGTAACCACCATAACCAAAATGTAAGATCACACTAACTCCAGCATCTTTCAACCTACGAGCATACATCAGACCATCATCACGTAGTATGTCAAACTCACAAACATGGATGTAAGCGGGAGGTAATCCAGACAGGTCTGGCGCCATCAGGGGAGAGAAGAGAGGATTGATAATGATTGGTTCAACTTTGGCTGCAACTTGGGGGTCATAGGGTTCTGTGACAACAGGGGCTGTCTTGTTTGGGGTTCTGAACTCTTTGGGTAGTAAGTTAACATTGACGTACTCTGAGTATTTTGATTTCCTAAACTCAGGGGAAATGTGTCTGTTTTCTGAGATGACTTTGGCATAGTAGTCTGTTTTATGTTTATCTGTAAAAATAATAGTTTTCACACATAATCATTGAAAGTATTGTTGAAATATGTCTATTATTATATGTCTATTATTATTCAATGTATAGTTTTTCAGATTTTTCTGAAAATAAGCAAAAAGCTTTACAAAAAAAAAAAGAATAGCAATGTGATGAATATTTTTAAAAATGTAATTTTAAAAATTTGACCTAACTATAAGTAAATAAGCATAGAAATTTCAAATATTTCTTAAAATTTAAAGTTGTATTAGAAAAAATAAGGTTTTAATTCCTGCTGTATCTATTCATATTACGAAGTTATATTTGAAATTTCAAATTCTTTGGTTAGTAATTTGACCAATTGCTTATAAAAGAGTAATAAATGTTTAAAATAAGTGTTTTATAAACAAACCTACAATTGTGTGCTGCCATTGTAGGATATTCACTGCTGCTTTAAAAATTTGACAGGTGTATGTGTCATAGATTTTTGTATGTGAACTGTTTGTTTCTTTCTCGTAGCCTAGGTGGTACTGCCCTCCTACCCCCCCCCCCCCCCCCCCCTTCCATCTTCAGAACAAACTTGCTTACACCACTGTAACTTTAACTAAATCCAACATTTGCACAACTTTTAGCTCAGTGAAGTAGATATTACACTGCTAAGTAAAAGTATTTTTAAAAAAAACTGTGTGAAAATAATCTGTTTCAACAATGTAGAATAATTGGATGAGATAGAACAAACCTACCTAGGCCAAAATAAAGTGAGAGAAATGCCCCAGCCATCCCTGCAGTCAGAATTGGCATAGTGGTGTTGTTGTCTACATAGGATGGTAGATGCAGGTTAAAGCCTTGGACAACAGGATATGTGAGAACTTGATACTTCAGTGAAGGAAGGTCAGAGTTCAACAAGGCCAAGGACACAACAGCAGCCAAATTTCCTCCTGCACTTTCTCCTGTTAAAAAAAACAAAATTAAAAATTGGCTTAAATTTCTTAAAATTAAAAACTAGGTAAAGAAAAATAAATCCAAAAAATATAAGAAAAATAGTGAAAGTTAAAACTAGTACTAACTTAAATAACTTGTGGCTAAATTATTCTACATTATATTATAATGAAGTAAAATTTCATTACATGTAACAGTAATGGCAGATAACCTAAAAGAATAACTAAAAGAAAATTCACCACCAACTCCAACTTTGTTTACATCTATTCCAAACTGATCTCCATGTTGTAGAATGTATCTGGTCACTTCCACACAGTCTTGGGCAGGAATTGGGAAAGGGAAATCAGGGGCACGTCTGTAGCTGCGACAAAATAAATTTATCTTTATATCATGCAATTACAAAAAAAGTGATTACATTTCCTTAAACCTATTCAAATAAAAAATGTAGGCCTATATCTAATTTTTGTGGCTGTTTTATTACTGAGATTTGTAAATAGTAAGCCTACACATATATATTTGCTGTATTTTAAAAAAATCAGCTGACAGTAGGGCATATGTATTATACAAATCTGATTTAGTACGTTACCCCAATAAATTTATAAAATTATTATAAACTGAGAAATAGGAGGTATCAATATTTAAAACAATTAAACAAAAAATAAGCAAAAAAAAATAAAAAAAATCAGCGTATTCTTAATGTAAGCCACTGCTTAGAAGTACTTTATAATACATTAACTATACTTTACCTCAGCAACAATTCATGATAATAAAACAACTTACTCAACGTTAATGACAATGATGTTGGTTGATTTTGCATAATCATACGCCTTTATATCCATTTCATCTGGTAGCATAAAGATACATTAATGTGACATGATTTAGACCTATGTATTTGATTTTAGTACCTAAGTTGAAAAAAGGGGAACATTTACTATCTAAGTTAATTTAAGAATGGAGGATAAACAAAGGTTGTAATAGTAGCAATTTAGAGTAGAATTTATACCATTTTATGGATTTTTAAAGCAAAAACAGTCACTTTAAAATGTTGTCAGTGTGGTCAAGTCGGTAAATACTTAATTGTGTTGGAGGGAATCCCAACTTTAAAAATTAAGAATGAAGGAGCCATATTAATCATAACATAGTGTTGTAATATTTATTCTTGTTTTCTTTTTAATTATTATTCTGTTTTTTTAGGAAGTCTGAAATACAAGACAAAATTTTTCAAATCCATATTTTTGTTTCCCTATAAGCACATTTGTGGACTTTTCCACAGGATTTTAAAATACTTCATTTTAAATAAAATATTATGCAGCCTACCTCAAAGTGATTTTAGTATCTTTAGATATATTAATTTTTCTTCTAAATTTATTTAAGTTATTTAAAAGGATTAGAAAAAAATTATTTGTACCCTACTTTTGTGTTGAGTATTCTAAATTTTATAAGGCCTAAATATTCTTCTCTTACCTGCTGTGCCAATTACCCAGCCTCCACCATGAAAGTAAATTAACGCAGGGGATAGTTGGTCTGTCAATGAATGTGGCTTGTAAAGTATTACAGGAATGTTGGCCATTTTAGTTCTCTTCACCTACAATGAGAATTAAAGCAGAAGTTGTTAAATAGTATTTTTTTGGGAAAAGTTGAAAGCAAAATGTATCATCAATGTAGAAAAGTAGCCTATTGCTATTTGCTAGCTTGATCTTAACTACAGCTGACATAAAAAAAAACACACCCAAACACATCCACAAATGATGTTGAACATTTAGGATACATTTGGTTTAGATTGATGACGATGTGCAAGATTATGGAGGGCAGTAGTGTGATGATAGTCATCTGGCCTTGGGTTACAACATTTAATGATGAGTAAAAATGGGAAATCAATTAAATTTGAAACTTAGCCGACACAATTAATTAAATTCCATGATAAATAAAAAAACAACGCCTTACTAAAAAGCAGCCTCTTTAGTAAAACTTACTTCAACATCTCCATACTTAGAAGAATAAGTTTCCCCTTCTAATATTATCTCACTCTGGAACTTTACTATACTGTTCAATAAACCATCATACCCTAGATATTCTCTAACATGCATCTGGGGAAAAAAGTGTATACAAATGTCAGTAGGATATTTCAAGACTATTTACTTACTGTAATTAATACTTCACCATAAGAAACCTTGTACAATTTATATGTAGAGGGTAAACAACAAAGGGGTATAATTTTGTTATAGTAGGCCTATAATTATTATATAGCCTAGAATAGACAGTGGTAAAGAGCTGTTAAGTGCTTGACATTTTTGAATGTTCTAATTTTTGTTACGGTGCTGTTACGACCTGTACGGCTGATTAAAAAGCAGACTGGCTCAAACAGTATTCCTTCTAATATACAATTGGCCTTACATTTGCTGTTTTTACCATAGTCGTAACCAGTAGCGTACGCAGGGGTGGAGCAGGGGGAGCGGCCGCTCCCCCTCTGGCCATTTTTAGCAAAGTGGCGCCTTTTTGGAAACTTTTTAAACTCAAAGTTTTAAACATTGATATTTGTTAAAAACTTACCTTTGGTCGGCACATCTATGCAAATCACAAGATTTATTTCATGCAGCAATTAATCATAACAGTAATAGACTAGTAGAGTCAACGTTTACAACACGTATTAGCAGCTGTATCAGTTTGTCATTCTAAAAATAACCATTACGATGCATTGCACTGTTTAAAAAACCTCTACAGGCAGTACCACTTGGCAAGAGGGGTGTTAAGTTTAAGGCAATTGTATAATGTATTTGCTTACGAATAATTGAATTAGAAAATGTTACATGTAAAACTTCAATCATAATTACTTTATATATACAGTTTAAATCGTGTAATTTATTTTTTAAAATTACAATACAGACACAAATACAACTAATGTGGCACCTCTATTTAAATTTACTTATGGTCGAACTGCGTAGCGGTGGGGAAATTTTGACAAGGTCATCGACATCATCACGATGAAGTGGTAGTATTATGACAGTTTGATTACGATTACAAATTAAATGAAACAGTATCAACTTTCTATTAATAATTATTTTAGTTTACTAGATCTAGATCTATATTATATTTGAACAATGCTATATTTTATATATATATAAAAAAACAACAACTCAATTTAAACTTACACTGATCGCACAGTTAATTATCCGCTACTTATTTAAATCTACTTTTGAATCAGTATACATGCGTAATTGAATATGTATGGGGTCGTCCATAAATGACGTCACACTCGTAGGGGGGTCCGAAATTTTATGACGGTGTGTGATGAGGGGGAGGGAGGGGGGGTTCAGATGGTGCGACGTCACACTTTTGCATTATAAAAAAGCAATGTTAGAAAACGAAGTTTAGACGTTATTTTGCGTTTTAGAAAACTGTTTTAATAAATTGTAATAACAATTGATTAAAATACTATATTTTGACAGAGTTCAGACAAGATTTTGGGAAAATATAGCTGTTTAAAAAAATTTAACTGCAATTTTGAGGGGGGTTGTAGGCTGAGGTGTGACGTCATGTTAGGGGGGGGGGGGAGAGGTCTGGCTTTTTGGGACGACGTGTGACGGATGGGAGGGGGAGGTAAAAATCGTCAAAAAAGCGTGACGTCATTTATGGATGATCCCTATGTTTAGAACAGTCATCTAAAAACTGACGCTATGTTCACTCTGAGTTGGTTATCCACCCCCACCTCACCACCACAATTGTGTAGAGCGACATTAATGTCACACCTTGGTATACGCTGGATTGGATAATTGAACTAAAGTGACCGGACAGTGGTGAATGAAGTTGAACCCCTCCTCCCAACCCGCAACGAACTGATCTGTTAAGTACATTTGGAACGCGTAATGATGTACCAAAGTACCATGCCGCCAGAATCATAGCTATTGAAACGTAAATCTCTGTGAATATTGTTTTTGCAATTACCAGTAAAAGGTGTGTGAGCAGTGATCTAACCCATACCTTCTCATAATGTTAAAAAATTATCTTTAAAGAACACATAAAGTCAGTAGCTAATTAAAAAGTGAATGATATGTAATGGAAGACCAATATTTTAGTTGTATGTAGACTATTATTCCGATTGTTTTACTTTTACTTTGTAAAGCTAGTATTTATACCAACTCTGATTTAAAAAACTGTCATTATGCTGTAATATTTTAGCATTTATGATGACAATATATTTAGATCTGATTGCAGACAAAACACTTTTGTAAAAACAAATAATGTTAAGCTACTTTATTAGATTCATAAGTAATTATTGATTTGTTTTGATATTTATAATAAAATGTGTAGAATATACATATTTATATTAAGATATTGATTATTTCCCCTTTTCTCTTGTCCCAGGAATTATAATGTAGTTTTTTTTTTACAAGGGTTAGGAAACAGATTATGCTGCGTTCATTGTTTTTGGTTGTAGTGTGATATATATATATATATATATATATATATATATACATAAATAAATAAATAAATAAATATATATATTATATATATATATATATATATATTTATATATATATATATACTTATATAGAAGATATTACAAATTCGGCGCCTTTTTTTGCTATTTTCGCTCCCCCTACACCGAAAACCTGGGTACGCCTCTGGTCGTAACTTACAAATAGTAGTCACCCCTCCCCCTCCTTATATAAGTAAGCATACAGTTTATTTTATTTAATACCATTTAACATTTTACCCTATTGTATTAGCACCTTTTTTGGCCTATGAAACTGAATTAAATTCTTGCCTCAATTCATTATTAAATTTGTGCTTTCTGAATAGTATTATTAGTACAATAACCTTGTAGTATTGTAGTATGATTGTAGACATTTTTAAATGCTATTATTAAATGTTTGTTTTTTAATTTTCTCACATCAAGGTAAGCCTATGGAATTTTATCAAAGTGGAAGTTATTGTTCTAGAAAAATTAACAGACACAGTAAACACTCACAACAAAATGTAGTATCTTGAAGACACCCATCAGCACTTGAGTTTTGTAAGGATTTTGAACACCTTCAGGCAGTGGTGTGTAGCCAATTATTGCTATGGCAACAATCAGCAAAGTAAAAAGGGAAACTATTATTTTCAACAGCATTGTTGTGTTATCTTTACCTGAGATAAATATTAAATAAGAATACATAGAATCTACTAATCTACATATTAAGATGATATGATAAAGCAGTTTTTAATTAATTGAGTCTATACTTAATTATTTATAGGAGAAAGTAAAAGCCTCTATAAAATATGTTTGTAGTTTGTACTAGTCTAGATTTTTATAAAAAAAATAACTATAGGCCTACTAGTAAAGTAGGCTACTACTAGATCTATATACTTAGATTAGTTAGTAGGCCTATATATATATACTATACTATATACTAACATAGTGCTATATATATATATACTATATAGTTAGTATATAGATATACTCACATACTTGTTTTAGTTTAAAATATTTAACTAACGATAGTATTTAATTATTTTACTATTAATTAAGGTACTACGTTAATTTATAGTCTGAGTTTATACTTTACAGTTTATTGAATTTAGTGATGTAATAGTAGATCTAGTTCTAGGCCTACCTTTCAAACAGTCTTGACGCCTCTCTAGTTCTAGTTCTAGTCTAGATCGTGCTTTAGGGCCGGGTTAAAAGACTTAGGCCTAATGATTGGAATAATAAACTACAGTATAATAGACACTACAGTGGGTATCTGTATATATATATTATATATATATATATATATATATATATATATATATATATATATATATATATATATATATATATATATGTAGGGTAGGCCTACCTAATATTATACGCTCAGATCTACTTGTATTGGGTCTCTTAGCACTGGATAAGTTCAACAACAGCTAAATAAGTTTTTTGGCCTAGATCAGGGGGTCTCCAAACTACGGCCCGCGGGCCGAATGCGGCCCGCGAGGTCCTCTCCACCGGCCCGCGGAGTTTTTTTTGTCCACGGAAAAACGTTTGTTGGTGATGTTTGAGGAACTTTGCCCAGAAAAATCGAAGACATGCCTGGAAGAAATTGGCCCCCGAACTGAAATTTGATAGTAAATGCGGCCCTCGGACTGAAAAGTTTGGAGACCCCTGGCCTAGATCTAGACATTTTAACAAATCGACAGAATCTAGATCTAGATCTATGTCAGTGACTCTAGTCACAGGAGGAAAGTAACTAAGGAATTTAAAAAGTAGACTATAGTTTTTCAAAGTGTAGGCCTAAATAGTTAATATAAAATACCATATATGTCGAGAAATTTCCCCACAGTGTACTCTGTTTAGTGCACGTTGAGTGCTTAATTTTGTCAATGTATTTCTGGTGACATATGCTACATAATTTATTTTATTACATAGCTAACGGGTACCTACCTGTCATTCGGGTCACGGTGGGTATAACCTCTAATACCCGTGGCATAGGACCCGAGAACGATGCGGATTAAACGAGACTGGGTCCCACCTGACCAGACCGTTAATGAGATCTTTCACAACTGCCCCTCACCTTTAGTTTCTGGTGCTCGGCTACTGTAGGAGGGTACCTACAGACATTTGATAGAGCAGGGTTTGATGCGGACTTAACTGGACGTATATCTTGATTCTGCTTAGCTCAATGATTTAGACTCGATTAAACTAGAATTTAGCTGAAAAGTAGTAACATCAAATTTAGCTGGAAAGTGGTGTCACCAGTTTAGCTGAACAATGGTGTCACCAGTAGACAGTAGCATGAGAAGTGTCAGTAGTCAAGGGGTGAGGTGAGCACCGTAGAAATACACTTTTTAAAAATTTTAAATTTTATTCACAACGTATAACGTACAGCCAACACTTAGAATATGTAACGGCATTTTATAACCAACACATCTGTTTTATATCAAAGCACAAATATGTAGCACAAAAAATGGCCCACAATGCATTAATTCCTAATAACTCATGCACCATGCACGTATGTAGCTATTGAACACAGGTAAGAAATCATTAACAGAGTTCACAACAGATGTTTAATCTTAAAAATAACAAATAGTGTAAGTACATGAATAAAAAACTGAAAGTCAAGTTACCCTTTTGAAATTGATGGTCTAAACTCTAAAGGACAGATGAAGCTTTATATATATATATATATATATATATATATATATATATATATATATAAGTTATTTTTTGTACTTTATTTTAAATTTTATTAATAAGTGTGTTTATATTTTTATTCATAAAGCATACAATTGAAAATATAAAAGCCTATTGTTACAGATTATATTTTTATAGTCTTACAGGGGGGGGGGTGTATGACATGAGTTTCTGCACTATGACCTCTGAACTAGTGATGCAACTGAACACTTAACACACAACTATAAATAAAACATTACATGTAGCAAGTTGACTGTATTGTACATTTTATTAATAAGTGTGTTTATATTTTTATTCATAAAGAATACACAGTTAAATATAAAAGCCTATTTTTAATAATTTTCTTAGAGTTTTAAAATGCCAGTAATAAAATTACAAGCTGTTCTAAAACCATCTCTTCCACTTTGAGATCGTAGGAAATCAGAAAACATTGTATCACCATGGTAACCACCATAACCAAAATGTAAGGTCACACTAACTCCAGCATCTTTCAACCTTCGAGCATACATCAGACCATCATCACGTAGTACATCAAACTCACAAACATGGATGTAAGCGGGAGGTAATCCAGACAGGTCTGGCGCCATCAGGGGAGAGAAGAGAGGATTGATAATGATTGGTTCAACTTTGGCTGCAACTTGGGGGTCATATGGTTCTGTGACAACAGGGGCTGTCTTGTTTGGGGTTCTGAACTCTTTGGGTAATAAGTTAACATTGACGTACTCGGAGTATTTTGATTTCTTAAACTCAGGGGAAATGTGTCTGTTTTCTGAGATGACTTTGGCATAGTAGTCTGTGTTAAGTTTATCTGTAAAAATAATAATTTTTGAACATAATCATTGAAAGTAATGTTGAAATCTGTATATTATTACTCAATGTAAAGTTTTCAAAAATACAATAAGATTTTTCTTTAAAAATTTCCAAAAATTGATAAAAAGCTAAAGAAAAAAGCTAAAAAAAAAGTATAGCAAATTGATGAAAATTAAAAAAAAATGTATTTAAAAAAAATTGACCTAACTATAAGTATAAGTAAATAAGCATAGCAATTTTAAACATTTCTTAAAATTTCAATTGTATTACAATATTAAGGTTTTATTTTCTGTATAAAATAAGCGTTAATATTCTAAAAATATTTTTTTATAAACAAGCCTACAATAGCCTTCTGTTTTATAGAACTAGGAATATCTTGACTGCTGTAACAATTTTGACAAATGAATGTGTCATATGTACTGAGAGGTGTTTGTGTGAATCTGTTTGTGTTTTTCCCTTTGCTTGGGTGAACAGTGCCCTCTTGATCCCCCAACCTCCCCCCCCCCCTCCATCAAAACAAGTTCTTGCTTACACCACTGTACTAAATCTAACATTAGCACAACCTTTAGCTCAGTGAAGTAGATGTTACACTGCTGAATAAAAGTATTTAAAAATATATGTACAAACTCTGTAACTCTGTGGCAAATTTTAAAGCAACAGCCAATAGAGAAAGATTTCAAGGCACGTAAATTGGGATGGATCGGACACACGTTGAGAAGAGAAAAAGAAAATATTGCAAAACATGCTATAACCTGGAAACTCCAGGGAAAAAGGAAAGTGGGTTGGCCAAAGAAAAGATGGAAAAGAATGGTAGAGGAAGAGGCCAAGATAGCTGGGCTCACATTGGCACAGATAAAGGGAGCAGCTCAAAACCGAGTCCGCTGGAAATGTGTAGTTGCAGCCCTTTGCTCCCCAGGTGCCACAAAGGAATGATGATGATGATGATGACTCTGTTAAGATAATATAGAATAATTGAATGAAAGAAAAACCATCCTACCTAAGCCGAAATAAAGTGAGAGCAATGCCCCAGTCATTTTGGCAGTTAAAATAGGCATAGTGGTGTTGTTGTCTACATAGGATGGTAGATGCAGGTTAAAGCCTTGGACAACAGGATATGTGAGAACTTGATACTTCAGTGAAGGAAGGTCAGAGTTCAACAAGGCCAAGGACACAACAGCAGCCAAATTTCCTCCTGCACTTTCTCCTGGATAAAAAATAAAACAAAATTAAAATTTTGGCTTTAAAGTATTAGAATAAAAAACAATATAAAGAAAAATAATTTTAAAAAAATATAAGAAAAATAATAAAAGTTAAAGCTAGTACTAACTTATGTTTTAATTATTCTGCATTAAATTATAATCAAGTAAGATTTAATTAGATATAACAGTAAGGGCAGATAACCTAAAAAAAAAACAAATAAACAGAAATTCACCACCAACTCCAACTTTGTTTACATCTATTCCAAACTGATCTCCATGTTTTAGAATGTATCTGGTCACTTCCACACAGTCTTGGGCAGGAATCGGAAAAGGAAAATCAGGGGCACGTCTGTAGCTGCAACAAAATAAATTTACCTTCAATACATTGGATAAAAATAACCATGGTGACTACATTTCTTGAACCTAATAAAATACAAATATTTATCTTATTTTTGTTGTTGTTTTCATAGTGAAAATTGGGAATAGTAAGCCTACACATATATATTATATTTTTTTGTGTTTTTAAAAAAAATCAGCTGACAGTAAGGCTTATGTATTTTGCATTTCTGATACAGTACATTACCTCCAACATAAATTTAAAAAAAAATATTATAAAATTAGAAACAGGAGTTATTACTATGCAAAACAATGAAACAAAAAGCAACAACAAATATCAGTGTATTCTTAAAGTAAGATTTAATGTAAGTCACAATATAGAATAACTTTATAATACATTAATTATACTTTATCTCATGATAATAAATAACAACTTACTCAACATTAATGACACTAATGTTAGTTGATTTTGCATAATCATACGCCGTAATATCCATTTCATCTGGTAGCATAAAGATAAATTAATGTGACATGATTTAGGCCTATGTATTTGATTTTAGTACCTAAAAAAATGAGAATATTTATTATCCAAGTAAAGAATAAAGAAAAACAATGATATGAAGTTAGTATAAAATGTATAACAATTTAGGGATATTTAGGCCTTCATTTCATAATATTCTTCCTGATCATTTAAAATAATGTAGAAAATTATGTTTGTACAGGACTTCCTCCAACACCATTAAGTAGTACGTGTCAACTGTTTATGTGCCATATAAGTCATTGACTCGTATTTTAACTTGCTTTTCCTTTTGGATTTGCTTCTATAACTTTTGTCCAACCAAGAACAAACTACAAAGCAGCTGTAAGTCTGAGATTTAAGACAAAATCTGTCCAAACTACCAATATTTTTCCCCCATCAAACTCCACTTAACATTTGTTGACTTTTTTCCCCCGAGGATTTTAAGACACTTCTTTATTTTAGATAAAGTAGTATGCATCTTACACCTCATAGTGAAATTGTTAAATAAAGTATTTTTTTTTAAAAAATGTGTATAATATATATTAATTTTTCTTCTGAAGTTATTTAAAAAGGTTAGAAAATTATTTGTACCGAATTTTTTAATATTCAAAATCTATTAGTATTAAGGCCTAAATATTCTTCTCTCACCTGCTGTGCCAATTACCCAGCCTCCACCATGAAAGTAAACTAACGCAGGGGATAGTTGGTCTGTCAATGAATGTGGCTTGTAAATTATCACAGGAATGTTTGCCATTTTAGTTCTCTTCACCTAACATGGGAATTAAACCATAGGTTGCTAAAATATTTTTTTGGGAAAGGTTGAAAGCAAAGTGTATCATCAATGTAGCTTGATCTAAACTATGAACATAAAAATCACATCCAAAAAGGATGTCCAGAAATGATGTTACACACTTATTTTTATATATGTTAATAATTATATATATGTTATATATGTTTATAATTACGTTCATTGGTGAAGTGGGGTGACATTATTGAGGACGGCAGTGGTGGTGATCTTTCTTTTGGTGACAACATTTGATGGAGGGGAAAATGAAGGGAAAACAACTAAATTTGAAACTTAGCTTATACAATTAATTAATTTCTATGACAAATATAAAACAATGCCTTACTAAAAAGCAGCATCTTTAGTAGAACTTACTTCAACATCTCCATACTTAGATGAATAAGTTTCCCCTTCTAATATTATCTCTCTCTGGAACTTTTGTATGCTGTTCAATAAACTATCATAGCCTAGATATTCTCTAACATGCATCTGGAAAAATAAAATGTACTTATACAAATGTCAGAAGGATATTTCAAGACTATTCAATTGTTGTAAGTAATACTAACTTCACCTTTTACTAGTTATATTTAGAAGGTAAACAACAAAGGGGGTATAATTTCCCAACACCCTAATTGTAGGAATTTTTTAATGTTTTTAACTTTCCTCACCAAAGTACCTACACGTAGTAATGTGAATGCGGTTCTAGAACAATTAACATGCACAGTAAACACTCACAACAAAATGTAATATCTTGAAGACACCCATCAGCACTTGAGTTTTGTAAGGATTTTGAACACCTTCAGGAAGTGGTGTGTAGCCAATTATTGCTATGGCAACAACCAGCAAAGTAAAAAGGGAAACAATTATTTTCAACAGCATTGTTGGGTTTTCTTTACCTGAGATAAATAAGAATACATAAATAAGATGATTTGTTGTTTTTAAGTTGTTTTTAATCTATTGAGGCCATACCTAATCTTTTATTAGAGAAGATACACATTGGTTTAATTAGTCAGCATCTTTTCTTGTTCATGCCTACGACATAGGCAGATGAAGCAGAGTTCATCTATTTCAAAAACCTTGGCATTCAAGGGTATAGCGTTGTTAGCGCTACGGCCGACCACCTTTGTTTCCCTAATGTAAGTCAGGTACCCCCCCCCCCTACCTCCCATAAATTGCAATAACACCTCAGCACACCAACTACACAAAAAGTGTTCTCTTTCATACATTTGAACCAAGCCCAGTCAACATAATACATGGATACATTTCCTCTTCGCATTGGACCCAAACAAAGTCTAGTTTTTTAGTTCAGTTAAACTACATAAAAAAATCCTGTCTACCCTACTTTACTGATACTTTATTACTACTAAATCTATATAGCTCTATATAATCTATTAGAGACGTAGCGAGGGTGGGACGGGGGATGCGGACCACACTGGGTGACACAATTTATGTGGATGACACCATGACGTAAACGTGCTAACTATAGAGAAAGCATTGCTACGTCCAACTGTATAATTAACAGACTAAAGATAAGCTTCGTTACTATTACGTCTGCAGTGATTAAAGCAGTATATGTAGGCCGACACACACACACACTCTCTCTCTCACATACACACACACACACACACACACATATATATATATATATATATATATATATATATATATATATATATATATATATATATATATATATATATACTTTGTTTCTTTGGGGGTGGGGGGTGTGTGCCGCACCGGGTGACACCCGACCTAGTGACGCCACTGATAATTTTATATATATATATATATTTTTTTTTATTTTTTTATTTATATGCCTATTTAATATATAGGTCTAAATGTGTAATTATATAAATATTATTAAATATAGGCATTTTTAATAGTAGCCTACCTTATATGCCTATTATAGAAAGTATAAGCCTATATACTGGTTTTAGTTTAAAATATTTAACTAACGATAGTATATAATTAAGGTACTACGTTAATACAGTTTTTACTTTACAGTTTATTAAACTTAGCGGTGTAGCCGTAGATATAGTTCTAGGCCTACCTTTCAAAAAGTTGACGCCTCGCTAGATCTTGTCTAGATCACGCATCGGGCCGGGTTAAGGCTAGGGCCTAATGATAGGAATAATACTATAATTATAATAGCCACTGAGGTAGGTATCTGTATATATATATATATGTGTAGGTTAGGCCTATCTATTCTTATTATAGGACCAGATCTACTTGTAATGGATCTCTCATCACTGGATAAGTTTAACAACAGCTAAAGAAGTCTTTTGGCCTAGATATAAAGTACTTGATAATTAGATAAGGGGTCATCAATTTGTGACGCCCAGTCGGTGTGTGTGTGTGTGGGGGGGGGGGGGGGGGGTCGACACAAATCGACATTTGTGGGCGCCTGTGGACTTGGGGGGGGGGGGGGGGATCGGGTCCATGTGGACGTCCACATATGAAAATTAAAACAACAACATTGCAACGTATAAATAAAGCACTGGATTTACACATACACTTGGGTCATCTATAAAATAAGTAACGTCTAGATATTTAACGATTGTTACCTCCCCTTCCTGTCGATCATTACTAATCTTCATTAAAAACCAGCTCCCAACACCTAAAATGAGGTCACACTTCAAGACTGTAATTTAAAAAAACATCATTTCAAAAGTGAACTCGAAATTTTTGTGGACGTCATAAGTACGTTCGTAACAAATCTACAGAGAATCTATGTCAGAGACTCTAGTTACAGGAAGGGAAGTAAGTAAAGAATTTAAAAACTAGCACTTTTCAAAGTGTATATATAAAATCTTAATATATATAAGGCCATGTGCGCACTTCTCTGTCTCTCTATCTCTCTCTCTCTGCGGTTGTATTTCTATTAGTATTTTTGTTTGCTTTTTTGATTGCGTTTGCGTTTTTTTTTTGTGTTTGGGTTTGCGTTTGTTGTTGAGTTTATGCTTTGCGTTTGTATTTGTTTTCGTTTGTTTTTGTTTATAGGTTTTTCAGAGAGGCCAGTGCAGGGCCTGTCCGGGACGGCTAGTAATTTGGTTTTTATAATAGGTATTGGTAGCCTATGTTATTTTAAATGTGTCGGTTCTAGTTATTTAGTTATTTCTTTGTTTTGTCACTAATATCGTTCAACTTGTAGTAAAGCACATTGCGTTTTGACCAGTTCCCTTTTTTTTTTAATAAAATATTTTTCTTAAACAAGTATAACATTAAAATATATATGCCTATAATTCATGGTTAGTGGTGTGACCTGTATGGCTAGACGATGGTGTCACCAAATTTAGCTTGTCAGTGGTGTCACCTGTATAGCTAGACGATGGTGTCACCAAATTTACCTGGACTGTGGTGTCACCAGTAGACAGTCGCATGAGTAGTGTCAAGGGGTGCGATTAGCACCGTAGAAATACACTTTTTGAAATTTTGTAACTTTACTCACAACGTATAACGTTCAGCCAACACTTAGAATAAGTAACGACATTGTATAACCAATACATCTTTTTATAGCAAAGCACAAATGTGTAGCACAAAAAATGGTCCTCAATTCATTAATTCCTAATAATTCACGCACCATTGCATGTATGTAGCTATTGAACTCAGGTTAGAAATTATTAACACAATTTTTTTAGTTCACAACAGATGTTTAATCTTAAAAATAACAAATATTGTAAGTACATGAATAAAAAACTGAAAGTCAAGTTACCTTTTTGAAACTAATAGTCTAAAGGGCAGTGGAATATTATATATATATATATATATATATATATATATATATATATATATATATATATATATATATATATATATATATATATATATATATGTATATATTTATATATATGTATATATATATATATATGTATATATGTATATATATATATATATATATATATATATATATATATATATATATATATATATATATATATATATATATATATACATATTTATTATATGGTCACATTTCGGGCTCTGACCACAACATCTCTCTGCAATACATGTTTACTGTTTCTGTGCCGTGGGGTTAGAATAATGTAATAATCAATCTGAATTACGTAAAAACTATTATGTTGATTTTCTATACCCTTTTATTTTCATTTAAGTGGAATGTATCATTTTTTTAATTTACGACGTCCTAATATACTATTTCTGTATTGTGCTTTATCCCACGAATGCGAAAACGCCAATGTATTGGTCAACAACCAGTTGTTTTGTTTTTGTTCATGAACATCAGAAAGACTTGTTCCAGCGAGGTTTGCTGTATGGTGTAGTGCTCAAAGTTCATGTCTTTCTTGGCTTTCTCCATCATTTTAAACATGGACGACAGGGGGAGGCTGTCTGCTGGGATTTGAAGGTGAAGGTAGGTGTCCATCTGTCCAAAGACCTGGGGAAACATTTAATTTTTTTAAGCAATTAATTTAAACATTTGATTTAAACGATTAATTTAAACAATTAATTCAAACAATTAATTAATTCAAATAATTAATTTTAGTAATTAATTTAAACATTTAATTTAATTTAAACGATTAGTTTAAACAATTAATTCAAACAATTAGTTTATTTAAACAATAAATTTTAATAATTAATTTTAACTATTAATTTAAACATTTAATTTAAACGATAAATTTAACCAATTAATTCAAACATTTAATTTATTTAAACAATTACTTTAAACATTTTATTTAAACAATTAATGTATTTAAACAATTAATTTAAACAATTGACTTAAGACAATTGATTTAAACAATTGATTTAAACAATTGATTTAAACAATTAATTCAAACAATTAATTTAAACACTTAATTTATTTAAAAAATTTATTAATTTCAACAATTAATTTATTAATTTAAACAATTACTTTAAATAATTACTTAAAACAACTAATTTAAACAATTACTTTAAACAACTAATTTAAACAATTAATTAAAACAATTACTTTAAACAACTATTTTAAACAATTACTTAAAACAATTACTTTAAACAACTAATTTAAACAATTACTTTAAATAATTACTTTAAACAACTAATTTAAACAACTAATTTAAATAATTAATTTAAACAATTACTATAAACAATTAATTTAAACATAACCACTGAAGTGAAGCTAAATGTTCGTCTGTTCAAAGATCTGAATTATCAATGTTAATTTAAAATGGATACAGATTCAGTTTCTGGATATTCATCTATTTCAAGTTGTTTTAATTTAGTAATTTTAATCTCACTTTGCAGCTCGTATGAAAATTATATCTAGACACCATATTTTATACATGTTATAATATGAATATTTTTTTAATCAAATACACCTCAATTTAATAAAGTTCTATAATGCTTTCATATAATATTTATAGAGATACAATGTATAAAAGTAAAACAAGAAATGTGTAAAAAGTTAATTATAATAGTAAAAGTAAAACGTAAATCCCCTTTTTTTAGATCTAATAATTCACTGCGCGATAGAGTTCATGTTGTCTGAACTCGGCATTTGAAGGGTTGGTGTTCCCATTAAACTGCGCGGCCGTGCAGTAGTTTTTTAGCTGCTGCGCATTGATTTTGTAAAATAAATATAACCTTGTATAAGATTTTTAGAACAGCGCGAACAACAAATACACGTTGCACACTAACTTTTCACTCTTCGAGGGAACATTGGTCAGAAGTATGTCCAGCCGCCTTTTGCTTACCCCAATGTGAGTCAGGTACCCATTAGAGCTGGGTGGACCCAGGGACTTATTACAATCCGGAGTGCTGGACCAGGATCCTAACTTGATACCATCGGCAGCCGGACTCTCTACCATTCGACCACTCCATTCCACTGAATGTAACTGAACTATTTGTTCAACAATAAACTCACCTGAGCCCCGCTGAATATCTTTAACAGGTTGTCTATGATTCCTTGTATGGGTACCCCCGAGTCAGGCTTCAAGTGTACGGTTATTGTATAACCCTGGGCGTACTTTGTCTTCAGGTGTTGGGGACTGCCTAGACACATGAGCTTCCCGCCCACCATAATGGTCAGTCTTGTACATAGGAGTTCACACTCTTCCATGCTGGAGATTACAGAACAACGTGGATATAGTCTGGATATAGGGGAGTAATGGAGCATGATGGATATATGCTGGATAGAGGGAAGTAATGGAACATGATGGATATAGCCTGGATATAGGGAAGTAAAGGAACATGATGGATATAGTCTGGATATAGGGAAGTAATGGAACATGATGGATATAGTCTGGATATAGGTGTTGTTTATTTAGAGTAGTAGTAGAGTCGGTAAAGCTCATGGTTGCTAAACCGAAAAGTCTCGAGTTCGAGCCCTCTACAGATGAGGCTAGACAGCAGCTCTCCTAGGAGAGACAACTCAAAATCAAATTACTAAAAGAAAAGCAGGCTAAAATTGGAATCAACGGCCTATGTGGTGTATAACAATTTGACACGTATTACTTTATTGTGTTGGAGTGAACCCCGTCCTTAAGAGCTAAGATTAAGGCAAACCTGTGTGACGTCAAGACGAGGGTGGAGCCAAGAGATCTGACGTTTTGGAGCAAGTCCCATATGGCTCTCTTGGCCATAGCATCCATGCCAGATGTTGGTTCATCCAGCATGACAAACTGGGGGTCGCCAATCACGGCCAGTGCTGTGGAAAGTTTGCGTTTGCTGCCCAGGCTGTGGAAGATACACAAAATGGTTTTCTTGTTTTGATAACTCGCGATCTCTAGAGCAGGTAGCACTCGAGAGACCCGCGGGTTCGCGAGTTTCTAGGCCACATGATCGCGTTGGGCCACAGGATAAGATTGGACCACAAAATCACGCTGGACCACAAAATCACGCTGGACCACAGTTTCACGTTAGACCACAACATCACGTTAGACACGTTAGACCACAAGATCATACTGGACCACAAAATCACGTTGGACCACAAGATCACGTTGGACCACAAGATTACGTTATATCATGTACTGCTCGTACACTCGTTATATGTGGGGTTTCTAGTAGAAAATGAAAACAAACAATCAAAATTAATGGTAACTGAAAAAAGGTTTTTTTTTTTCGTATACTTGTGCTCCAGGATTTACGTTACCGAACCAAATGTATATTTGGGAGTTAGTTAACCGAAGCACATGTATATGTAAGGGGCTGGGGAGTTATTTAATTATTTTATTACAAAAAGGTGAATGTCAATTTTTGTGTTCCTTTGAGGATTGTTGTGGTTTTTAGTCAAGTAATCTGCTATTATGGCGCTGATATGATTTTGATTTTAAAATGATTTATAGCCTGGTTATTGTGTCTTGTTTATATTTTGATGTTATTATTTATGTAAACTTTGTTTTGGAATGTGGCTCCACTTTGCTTTATATCCCGAATGTAAGTTATTGTTGTATTAGGGACTATTTCCTTGTGCGTAGTATTGGTTTTATAGTTCGTGAATATGGTGTGTGGATAGGGAGGGAAATTCTGCGGGAATGTTGAGGCCTGTGTGTTGAAGAGTTTCTTGTCACATTTATGTAGCGTATGGTAACATAGAGCTATTGTTATATTTTATTATGTTTTCCTTTTAATAGTTTGCTTATTTTGTATACAAAGTGACTACGTACTAGATCTATTTAGTTACTTCGACTTTGAGAAGTCTCAATGTTTGTTGTATCCAGACCACGTGGTTATATGATGGCCTGGGTTTAGTCATGGATGATTGTAGATTTTACTTTCATTTATGAGAGCCTCTTGTTTAGGCTGACAATTAGTGCCTTGTGTATAACTTTTTTTTTACATTTTAAATTGATTTGTCTATTTTTCCTCTTTCTAGGACGGTGGTCCGAAATTGGGTGTTTTGTTTCTTTGAGTTCTGTTTTGTATGTCTTGAGTGTGTTGTTTTGTCTAGATCTAGATTCTAGTTTTTTTTATGTAAGTTTTGGTTCCATATTTTTGTTAAATAAATTTTATTATATTGTTAAAGTTTTTGTTTTATTTTTAGTAGTTTTTTTAATTTAGATTAAGGATAAGATTTAACCACCGTGGGTTTCACCACGGTTGCACTGACCCGGACAGTTATATAGATAAGCCTAGGGAAGGGTAGATAGATTTTAGTGATCCCCCCCCCTAGCAGGGCTTACATATATTTAGTAAGTCTGCCATAATACCTGTATTTTTTCGTCTCTTTATCGGCATGCAGGTCCAGTAAAACAGCACTAATCAGATAATCCGTGACACCTGGAAGACTTTTCTCTGGAACTCCCCGCAGACGACCAAACAGGTAAAGCGACTCCCTGCCCGTGAGGTCGTCGTGTAGATAATCGTCCTGCGGGCAGTAACCCATCATTTGATGGATCTAAAGTAAGAGAACATGAGTTGTCGCCCATTTTTATTGATTATGCTCAATCAACGGATCCCAGCCGCTGGAGAACTCAGGGCGCCAAACAGCGCTTGTTCGGAAATATACTTTTTACTTTCTCGTATAGAGAAAGTATTGTAATCGTGCAAAAAAAAAAAAATCGAGATTTTTACAAATCTCGACGTTTTACACCTCACTGATACGGAAAATCATAATTTTGCAATCTTGTCCGTATGTCTGTGTGTCTGTCTGTCTGTGTGTAAACACGATAACTTGAGTACCGTTACAGCTAGGTTGATGAAATTTAATATATAAGTATTTTATCAAAATCATAGATCCCGATCGACTTTTGAGCGATTTCCGATAACCGGAAGTGGTACTTTTTCTACTTTGAATTTTTCAAAAGCCTATAACTTGAGTACTATTTCAGATAGATAAATGAAATTTCACGTGTAAGTAAAAGAACTCATTCTCTACCTTCTGTAAAATTTTGAGTAATTTCCGTTGACTGGAAGTACTAATTTACGCTATTTTCGATTTCTCAAAAAACTCATGTAAATTTATAAAGTACTAATAATATATCACACTATTATGCACATTTTGTTTTGGCTTTCGCTTGGTGAGCAATTCTTTTTTCTATGAGATTCTATTCTATTTTTAAAAGTTTAAGTAATTAAAAATCATGCCTATATTTCAAGTTATATACGAATATTCGAGAAAGTTTAGGGGAGATCACTCCCGGTTTATTTCTAAATTGCAGAAACCTTCCCAGGAATTTTCCTAACGACTTCGCAGTTTCAAGAAGAGTGTAGTAATGCAGCAATACATAAAGACAAATCAACTGATAGACACACACACATACATTTGCGGGGGTCTGGCGTTGCGGTAGTTCCGCACCTGATTTACTACCTACTTTAGGACTAACTAAGTTACAATTGAAACTACAGAAATGTATTCACTACCTACTTTAGACAAGTTAGAATTGAGACAATAGAAATGTATTTACTACCAACTTTAGACAAGTTAGAATTGAGGCAATAGAAAGGTATTTACTACCTACTTTAGACAAGTTAGAATTGAGACAATAGAAATGTATTTACTACCTTCTTTAGTCAAGTTAGAATTGAGACAATAGAAATGTATTTACTACCTACTTTATACAAGTTAGAATTGAGACTATAGAAATGTATTCACTACCTACTTTAGATAAGTTAGTATCAAGACTGAGACCATTGAAGTAAACATCGCCTGATGTACTTTCACATTCCCCCGTCAGTATTTTGAATGTTGTTGTTTTCCCTGCGCCATTTTGTCCAAGTAGTCCAAAACATTCATTTTTTGGGATCCCAAGGCAAGTGTTGTCAACGGCTGTCAACGCTTTTGAAAATTTGTAGTAATGTTTGCAGACTTTTACCAGAATCAAGGCATCTATAATGAGTTTAAAAAATTATAAATGTTGTAATTCGTTGCAATGAGAATTCTAGTAACTTACTGCTTACTTAGTATTAAATCAACATCTATAAATTGGAAATTTGAATATATTTGAATATGTTATTATAACTACTTGAATATGAATAGTTATATAGAATGCACATTTTACGTTTATTAGAAAGGTGTCCTTAAATGTCCTACTTTTACGTTTATTAAAAAGGTGTCCCCAAAAGTCCTACAGGCTTAACCTTAAAAAGAACCACACAATGTAACCTTATTCAAGATGGCAATCTAATTTTATAATCATTCGATTGACACGTCGTTCAAATTATAGAATATAGATACTATGCAATTTTCAATTGTTTTACTTGGATTTTTTTTCCCTACTACCCCAACTTATCTGTCAAAAACAACTGTTTTAATTAAATCCGTGTTTAAAATTCTTTTTCAACCTACCTGTCTGAAATAACTGTTTTAAATCCGTGTTTAAAATTCTTTTTCAACCTACCTGTCTGAAATAACTGTTTTAAATCCGTGTTTAAAATTCTTTTTCAACCTACATGTCTGAAATAACTGTTTTAAATCCGTGTTTAAAATTCTTTTTCAACCTACATGTCTGAAATAACTGTTTTAAATCCGTGTTTAAAATTTGGTTTTGTCTATCAACCTACCTGTCAGAAACAACTGTTTTAAATCTGTGTTTAAAATTCGATTTTGTTCATTGCTAACATCGTCATCAGATTCAGCTGTTACTTTTTCGACGGGCAAGAATTCACTTCTCCGACAGTCATTTAGTGATTGAAAACTTGGAGAAATAATTCACTTTGTAAGACAGGAAAGGTGCACTATTTGCTTATATGGGGAAGGGAGGGGGGGGGGGGAGGTTAAGGCGTTTCAGTTTGGTTTCATTGTATTATTGTGTGTAAATGGTGTATTGCAGTGATACAAAATTCTGTCTTGGGTTAGATTGGTTCTGGCTATTGCACACGTTTGCTGTTTCTAATAGTTGGAAAAATAAGTTGATACCAATGATATGTATATGAGAAAAAAATGTGTTAATCCTATCTAAGGCTTTAATAGTTTTTATACAGATTTAAGAAGCGGTAAAATTTTAACTAAATATAAAGTTATAAAAGTTTCTAAACAGAGTTAAGCTGTGGTATTAAACTTTTAACCCAAAATTTTATTAGTCTTTAAAAGGATTAAAGGTGCTATATAATTTTTATAATTTATTTAAAAAATGTAAATACCTTATCTCTTTTACGTTAAAATATTCGATTGCTAGAAGTAAACTCCAAGTACCCAATGCATGTAGAGAAATGTATAATGCTATTTCCTTGGCCACTTTAAACGACTCTGTAGAATGAAATACGTATTTTCTAATCCGCTCTCGTCTAGATTAACATTTATACTTCTACAAGATTTGATGGACGAACTTTTATACTTATAAAAAGAATAATATCTTAACTTTTTAAAGACAAAATGCTCGCATCAATAAGATTAACATTGCCACTTCTACAAATTTAATAAAGGCCCACCCTTGTATGAATAATTTCAATATTCTTACGTGTAGAACATCTATATCCATTCATGACTTATATGTATACTTCAACCAGTGTTTCTTCCAGACTTTTTTCTCCGGGCGGGGGCGGGGGGGCACTTGAAATTTTCGGGGGGGGGGGGGCGGTCAACATTTTTCGGGGGGCGGACACTAGTAAAAGTGTATGTTTACTATATAAAAGCCATCACTTTCGGGGGCGGGGGGCGGTAGACTTTCTTCGGGGGAGCGAAGAGATGCCTGGAAGAAACTCTTCAAATATCTAGCCTCATACAAGCTTAGCATGTAAATATCTTTGTGTGTGTTTAGACAGACCAAATCTACTTTCTGTAGCGTCATTTAGACATAGTTTTCTGTAGAATAGATGTTACTGGAAATGCGATAAAAACTTAACAAAAGCTACTACCCCCGTTCCAGAGGCGTAGCGAGGGCGGGGGGGGGGCATATGTCCCCGGGCGCCGACCTTAGGGGGCGCCAAAATGGGTTGGAAAAATAAATTGAAAGCTTGAGGGGAGGGGGGTGGAAATAGAATATTTGAGAGAGGGGTTCAAATCGATTGCAAATCGAAATCTTGAGAGGGGGGGGGTGCAAATCGAAAGCTTGAGGGGGGGGGTGCAAAAATATTGAGGGGGGGGGGGTGCAAAACGAAAGTTTGTCCCCGGGCGCCGGGAAGGGTCGCTACGCCTCTTCCCCGTTCGAGCCTGGTAGTCAATGGGGTAGATGAGGTAGAGTTCACCTGTTTCGGTGACCTCGGCATATGTTGTGAAAGTGTAGATAGTCCAAGCCGAGTCGTCTTTACTTTCCCTAACCCGAGTCAGGTACCTATCCGAGGTTGATTATCTCTTGTACGTCCGCCCGAGAATTTCGAGTCAGCTGTCGTGGATTCTACTATCCGTCCACGCCGTCTTATCAAATAAAAAAAAAATGATCTTGGGGGTCATCCATAAATGACGTCACGCTTTTTTTACCATTTTTACATAACCCCCTTCCCTCCGTCACACATCGTCACAAAAAGCCACCCCCCACACACACAGTTTTTCTTAAAACATAGGTATTATTCCAAAATCTTGTCTGAACTGTGTCAACATATAGTATTTCAATCCATTCCTATTATAATTTATTAAAACAGTTTTTCTAAAATGCGAAATAACGGCTAAAACTCGTTTTCAAACATTGCTTTTTTTGTACCCCCCCCTCTCCCCTTTCCCTCATCACACACCACCACAAAATTACGGACCCTGTCCCCCATACGAGTGTGACGTCATTTATGGATGACCCCTTGTATAATAATTGTGAAGACTAACCAGTATAACAATCTACAAAGAAGTAAAGTGTACAATATTTGTGTTAGATATGTGTTAGATTCCTGACTAACCTTGGTGTGTAGGTTCTAGTAACGAGACAATATCCAAATATTTGGTATACGGAGAGCTGATCATCAAAACATGTAGCGCAAAGTTGACAAAAGAAGAAATGGGTTTATTCTCATTCAAGCTGGTCATCTTAACATATAGCGTTTCTGGCGATAAAAGTATGTGATTGAAATTAATAAGGTTTCAATATAAATATGAATGTTAGAATCTATATAAATAATTCTCTTCTTGGAGACGTTAGAAAACAAGCTGTAAGCGCGCCTTGCAGTCCTCTCTCTTCCTCTCTAGGAAGTCTGGTGAGCTGTGGTTCACGCTAAATGTTTACAATCTTAGAGTCGGGCTTAGTGACGGCTATTAGGGGCAGATAATTTAGTTTGAAACGATTTTAAACTTAGGGGAGGTAGCTAAGAGGAGGCTGCTTTCACGGGGGGGGGGGGGGGGGGGGTTAGGGATTGGGGGAAAGGAGGGGGGGGGTTATCGTCCTTAACAACATACTGATAGTGTTTTAAAGCAAATATTTTCAGTGACAGCAGTGGTACTGTTAATTTCACAAATTATGAATTACTGAAAAGTAGAAAATAAAACAACTAAATAGCGGCGTATGATACGCCGCGGGTCGGCTCGTTTTTTATAGTATCGCAGTGTATCGAACTGTTGCAGGCAGTATCGTATTGTGAGAGAGAAGTTGAAACCTGAAAGAACTTGGGTTTGTTGGTAAGTGATGTCAAAAATATACACAAAGATTGTATATTTATTTAACGGCATTTAACTTTATGTTTAACTTTAGGTTAAACTGGGAGCATATTTTATCAGTATAAAGTTCCCCTTCCAAATCTGACGGTCTATGGGGCAAGTGAAGTAGAGTTCACCTGTTTCTGTGATCTCGGCATATGAAGGGATAGTGTGATCAGCACAATGCCCAGCCGCCTTTACTTTCCCTAACGTGAGTTAGGTACCCATCAGAGCTGGGTGGATTCAGGAACGGTGAACTGACTTGAACCCGGATTCGAACTCGAGACTTAGCAGTCTAGCTCTCTACCGCTCATCCCCTCCGTTCCGGTTAATCAGTATAAATAAGCCTACATGTTTTTAAAAAATCGCAAAATTGTTCATTTTTTTCTCGGTTAACAACGACTTTAAAACAAAAACTAATACTTACGAACGATCAGTTGAAACGCCATTAGGCTAAACACAGCATTGGAGGATCTTTTAAAATACATCTGGAACAAATAGCAATATGGAAGAACATCTAGCATAAACAGCAGCTGAGTCCAAATAATCATTGGAAGATGAACGATTAGTTCTTGCGTCGACTTCTGACAGAGAATAGCAATCCAGAAAATTGCCGCAATCACCAATTGAAGGCACATATCAAATAGGTAATTTGCTAGCCATGAAACCCAAATTGGAACTCCTGTTATTGTTTCAAGCTGTCTGGCCCCGCTCTGGAAATAGAACATTTTTAAAATGTAGAAATATATTGCTAATAACTGGCATAATACAGTTAATTATATCTATATAAATAACTGCTCTAGAAGGGGTTCACAGAAGTGATGGTGATGATGATGATGAAGATGATTATGGTGATGATAATGTTTATGGTGATGATGATGGTGCCATTATGATAATGATGATTATGGTGATGATAATGATGGTGATGCTGATGGTGACATTATGATGATGGTGATGATGATGGTGACATTATGATGATGATTATGGTGATGATGATACTGATGGTGATGATGATGGTGATAATTATGGTGATAATGATGGTGATGATTATGTTGATGATGATGATGATTATGGTGATGATCATGATAGTGATATGTGATGATGATGGTGATGATTATGGTAATGATGATGGTTATGATGATGATGATTATGGTGATAATGATGGTGATGATTATGGTGATGTCGATCGTTATGATGATGGTTATGATGATGATGATAATGGTGATGATGATAATGATGATGTTGATGATGACGATGATGATGATGATGAAATAACTGGATACTGTATGTGGGGTATATTGTGAGCCCTATAACATTTCCATTAAAAAAGAGATTCTAAAGGTGTTTGTTCTTTATTAACTTTTTTACTCTAATTTGTTAGATTAACAAATTAATGTCATCGTTTTAAAATGAACTAAAAGCTAAATCTTAAATTTGTGTTGATGGCGCTTATGTTAGTGCAATAATACACTTTGTCCTCTTATCAATGTAGCTTTGCGGTGAATTCAGCATCGCCGAGCAGAAAGCTCCTAAAGCACGCGCTAACGCCTGTCTCATTCAGTTTTACTTTGTTGTATAGCGAGCCACGGTGTCGTTGGTTAAATGTTTGGCTATCAGTTTGTCGAAGGATAGTGTGTTGAAACCATTTAGTTGGTGGTCTTTGTTTTCTTCTTCTTCTTCGTTCTTAATTTTTAATTTTTTAATTTTGGAAGGGGGTTCCCTACAACATAATTTAGTATTACGTATCAGTTTGTTATGCGCCATATAGGCAATTGACTCTGATTTCAGCCTGCTTTTGTTTGTGGATTTGCTTCCATAGCTTTTGTCCCACCAAGAACACATTTCAAGGCAGCATTATTTGGTTTTAGAGTTGTCTCTCCTAGATGAATAGCTGTTACCCCGCGGTAACCTTAACTACATTTGACGACCTGAGTGTGACCTACATCATACTAGATTCATACAATTCTTTCTTAATCAAACACATCTAAATGGAATACTTTTAACCTAGAACAAGAACATAAACTAGATTCTTACAATAATTTCCTTAATCAAACACATCTAAATGGAATACTTTTAACCTAGAACAAGAACATAAACTAGATTCTTACAATAATTTCCTTAATCAAACACATCTAAATGGAATACTTTTAACCTAGAACAAGAACATAAACTAGATTCTTACAATAATTTCCTTAATCAAACACATCTAAATGGAATACTTTTAACCTAGAACAAGAACATACACTAGATTCTTACAATAATTTCCTTAATCAAACACATCTAAATATATTCTTTCAACCTAGAACAAGATCATACACTAGATTCTTACAATTCTTTCTCTGATGAGCCAGCCCACAATGACAGTGTGTAAGGAGAATAAAGCTCCTAATATCAGCAATAGGCTAAAGCCTTGGTACAGGATATTTTGGTCATACTCTGTATACGGGTATACCCCGCTTTGGAGGGAATAATTAGACCCCAGCAATGCTTGGATATGAGCGTTGAGGAAAACATCGACCTGAGATAGACATAAAACAAATGCACAAAACATGTATAATAATAAACTTTTACATGCACTCAAATTTTTAAACTTTATAAAACAAACTTGATTTGTTTCCTACAAATATTGGTCATTATAATGAACGAATATATATATATATATATATAAATATATATATATATATATATATATATATATATATATATATATATATATATATATATATATATATATAATAAATAAACAAATATACAAATAAACAAATGAATGAATGAATTAATGAATTAATGAATTAATGAATTTTTATATATATATATATATATATATATATATATATATATATATATATATATATATATATATATATATATATATATATATATATATATATATATATATATAAAATAAATAAACAAATATACAAATAAACAAATGAATGAATGAATGAATGCATGAATGAATTAATGAATTAATGAATTAATGAATTAATGAATTAATGAATTAATGAATTAATGAATTAATGAATTAATGAATTAATGAATTAATGAATTAATGAATTAATGAATTAATGAATTAATGAATTAATGAATTAATGAATTAATGAATTAATGAATTAATGAATATATATATATATATATATATATATATATATATATATATATATATATATATATATATATATATATATATATATATATATATATATATATATATATATATATATATATATATATATATATATATATATATATATATATATATATATATATATATGAACAATCTTACAGCGACAGGTTCACTGTGGACGTAAAAACCCTGATAGTGAACGATACTGGGGCTTGGTGGTTCGTTAATCTCAAAGCCCATCATTATCTCCTCCCTATACCTAGAGAAACCGTTGGTTCGGATCCAACCTTTAAGGAAATCATCAAAGCTCTGCAGATGACAGAAGGTTTGAAAAACTGGTTCTAAAATTGAATATTTTATAACAGTTGTGAAGTGAGTACAATATGACTTCCGATTTTATTAAGGCTAGATATATTCAAACAAATAACGGAGTGGTCTAGCGGTAGAGAGCTGGACTGCTAACCCGTAAGTCTCGAGTTCGAATCTGGGTTCGAGTTAGTAGACCGTCCATGCGTCCACCCAACTCTAATGGGTACCGAACTCATAGTGCTGACCACAGTATCTCTTCATATGCCGAGGTCACAGAAACAAGTGAACTCTACTTCACTTGCCCTATAGACTGTCAGGTTTGAAAAGGGAACTTTACTTACTACTAGTAATATAATAGTCATTTAGCTAACTCTTTTATTTTTAATTTGGATTAGTAGAATCAGGGTGTTGTGGGGATAAGGAATGCAATATTATAATATATATATATATATATATATATGTATATATATATATATATATATATATATATATATATATATATATATATATATATATAGTGTATTTTTCATGGAAAGCAATTGTTGTGACGTTAGTTGTTTTACTTTCCTTGGCCATTCCGGTTGACTTCAAGGAGAGATTGAGGGCAGTTTTAAAAAAATAGTTGAATTAATAAAGTAATTCAAAACAGGTTTTCATAGGCTTAAATTCAATAAACAAGTTAATAAAAAGTCTAGTGACAATTTAAGCGCAATTTCCTTATGTTATCCATAACAATTTTAAATCGAGATAAATAATATATTCAGCAAATAAATAATGCAACACAAGTAGTTTTAATAATTCAAAACAAAATAGAAAAAAATATTTATTAACGAGATTTAAAAAAAATTGTGGACGTGTAGGGGGTATTTAGTTGTCGCGCTCTCTATATTGCTATGTAGTACTGTAGTGTATTATGTATAATGTAATTTTAAATTTTTTTTCGTGACCGAACGAAAGGATATTTTTGAAAACTTTCTTCGGCAATATTGTTCTAAATTATGGCAGGAATCGATTGGTAAATGTTTCAAGTCGCTAAGTGGTCTGGTTGCCGAGATATGGGCAAAAAACTGCATTTTTTCGAGGTTTTTTGGCTTTTCCGGGAAATCCAGGAAGGAATTCTGGGAATTTTTTTAGCCCACAATCATCCTCGGAACTTGCTTAACATATTTGCTTTTGGAACTAGTCCTCGATATTGCTTCGTTGAGGAGGAGATACGACTTTAAGCTGCGGTAAAGCTGCGGACACACATCCAGAAATGACGAATTAATAATCGCAATTCCAGTATGGAAATTGCGCTAAAAATATGAAAATTAGTGTAATCGATGGTTCGTAAACAGCTTTAATTTTTTTTACAAATGTAGCCATAACTCTATAGCTTGCAAAATGTTTTAAAAAGATTAAAACTTTTTTTAGTATGATTACATAGACTTTTAAATCCAATTGTATATCCAATATGGTTTGCAGAAAAATGCGCAATCGGCTAAATGCGCAGCGGAAATGTTATTGTCTAAATGCTAGATTTAAGAAAACAAAAATGCCATTGCGCACTTGAGTGGTATATGTATATTTCTAATTTCAAATGCTTATGATAAAAAAGTAATATAATTAACTTTAGTACATTCGTGTCATTGCTCATAGTGTTTCATTCCTGTAAAATTTGCACAAAAATTAAACGGTTTAATGTTCCTTTTAGAAAGGTCATCATTGTTTTTGTTATATAGGCCTAGAATAAAGTAGTCTAGGCAGTGGCGTAGCGAGGTCGGGTGTCACCCGGTGTGGCACTTAACGGTGTCACCCCCCAGAGGCGTAGCGACTCTTCCCGGGGACAAACTTTCAAGTTTTCGATTTGCACCCCCCTCAAGTTTTCGATTTCCACCCCCCTCAAACTTTCGATTTGCACCCCCCCCCTCAAGTTTTTGATTTGCACCCCCCCCCTCAAGTTTTTCTCTATATATTTTGCTATTTTTTGCCTTGGTGTCACCCCCCCCCCCCCCCCCCCGCCCCCCCCCCCCCCCCCCCCTCGCTACGCCCCTGAGTCTAGGTGAATGATATCGTGTGCAGGTTTAAATTTGGGTTATATATAGGGTTAGGTAAGAACTGAATCAAACTTTACCGAAATCCTATCTGAAGGTAGGCATTGTGTATTAATTAGGAACAGTGGCGTAGCGAGGTCGGGTTTCACCCGGTGCGGCATTTAATGGTGTCACCCCACAGAGGCGTAGCGACCCTTCCCGGGGACAAACTTTCAAGTTTTCGATTTGCACCACCCCCCTCAAACTTTCGATTTGCACTCCCCCCTCAAGTTTTTCTCTATATATTTTGATACTTTTTGCCTTGGTGTCACCCCCTACATGGTGTCACCCGGTGCGGTCCGCACCCCCCGCTCCCCCCCCCCTCGCTACGCCCCTGATTAGGAACAAAACTTACCAATGACCTGTTGGGCTCTACCACACGCACATCAGGAGGAAGAAGAGATATCAACCCGTGGTAGATGGCCACAGAGTTGTTGTCGCTTGGTTTACCAACAACGATGGTGATATTTTTGTAGTCACTGAGCTTAAAGTCCATCGGTAGATCCAGCTCAGAATTGTAGGTCAAAGCGACAAATACCAGAGTAGCGAACAGGTTTAGAGCTAGTATCGACGCTAATGTCACCCAACTTCGTTTTGTTAGAATCCATCTTTTTATCAACAGAGCTCTAAACTGATTGGCTTTTAGTTGCCTGCCTTTGTTTTTCTCATCTATTGATTCTGGCCTGGCTTCTGTTCAATATATTTATTTATACATAAATAAATATAAAAATAAACTCAAATAAATAAATAAACAGACAGACAGACAGACGGACGGACGGACGGACGGACGGACGGACGGACGGACGGACGGACGGACGGACGGACGGACGGACGGACGGACGGACGGACGGACGGACGGACGGACGGACGGACGGACGGACGGACAGACAGACAGACAGACAGACAGACAGACAGACAGACAGACAGACAGACAGACAGACAGACAGACAGACAGACAGACAGACAGACAGACAGACAGACAGACAGACAGACAGACAGACAGACTAACATAGGACTACCTGAGTGGCTAACATAGGACTGCCTGCATGTGCCTAACTTATGATTTCTTGATGATGACTAACATATGACTATCTTAGTGTGACTAACATAGGACTACCTGAGCGTGACTACCATATGTAACAAACATGAGTTCCTGAACAAAACGTACCTATGACGTCACCCTGCTCTTTATCAACCACGTCATTGTCGGCTGTATCTGGCATGTCCCCTGGGTTTGTGCTCAGGTTTTGGCTAGCACTCTGTGACGTAGTGGTCTGTCTCAGGGACTGTGACGTAGTGGTCTGTCTCAGGGACTGTGATGTGGTCGTCTGTCGCAAGGACTGTGTTGGCGTCGGGTCGACGTTTGAGTTGCCGACTTCCACCACAATGGACTTCAGCTCAACAGAGTTTCTTTGACTTATGATATAATTTGAAACAAAATGTGTCCATTTTACATTTAATAAATTAATAAAAACACGAAAACTTGAATTTATAATAAAATTTGAAACGATAAATGTACAATTTTTTTTTCATCAATTATTTTAAGAAAAAGAAACCTTTTTTTTTAAACAAATTATTCTAGTTTATTTTAAAAAAAAGTTTTTAAAAAAATCCTCATTGAACATAATAAATGTTTGAAACTAAATATGACTAGGTAATTATGATGAATGATTTTAAAATGCTTCTCGAAATTGTGATAAATATTTAAACTAACAATGTCTAGTTAGTTTTCATAAATGATTAAAAAAATCATTTTTGAGTTAATGGTAGATAATTGAAACTTAATTTTCATTTGTAAAAAAAAAAATAAAAAAAAAAATCAATTTTCGAATGGTTTCGATATCAACACTGTTCGTTCAAAACACACTCACACATCCGCACCCATACCCTTACTCACACTCAAACCAAAACACATGGTTTGTTTATTTAATGATCGACATAGAGGGATTATTGATCAGTTACACAGGTAAATGTTTTACAAATAAAATAAACCATCTCATACCGTTTTTCATGCCATGATTATGATTTCTTACTGATGAAAGTTATTTTTGGTAACATATTTAAAGCTTTGGCAGAATCAAATTTGAACTCACTTTTTTGTTTTAGATGATTTTTGAGAATCTTTTTTCTCCACTTGCAAACTGCTAAATAAAAAAAATAAATAAAATAAAGCAAAGCAATTTTGAAATCTTGTACTGTGTTTACATAATCTGTCGGTTTGTTGTGCGTCTGTCGTCAGCTCCGGTAACTCAAGTTCGACACATTTCAGCGATTTCGTAGTTTTAAAAAAAATTAAAGACCCCAGTAGTCACAGTTTTCTACTATTATTAGGGGATCGAGGTAGTTTTACACTTTCCTTTTGTTATATGTGATAGATATACACAAGTACTACATGAATGTGGCACTAACTCAAAAAAAAATTAAAAAGTGGACGTCTGTGGTTTGTTCCGTGTTGTCTTTATTTGTTTCCAATGGCAAAATAAGAGAATCAAGTAATTCGATTACTAACCTTGGGATATCAATTGGAGCTTTCTGCTCGATTTTTTGGCTGAACCTGATCATCACATAATAATAAAATACTGTCAGCATGCCATTACGTGCTTATATAACTAAAATAACAAACAGCACATACTGACGAAAATATTTTTTTTCTTCTAATTTACAAAAAAAAGTATTTTAAGACAAAACAATAGTTTAAATTTAAATTTAAAAAAATAATTAATTTAATTAATTTAAAAAAAATATTTATTTATAATTAAGATGTTTACATATTTGTGTTTTTTGTAATTTAATCCATTGTATGATTTTAAAAAAAAGTAGCTACACATTGAGATTAAATAATTTAAGTAGCAATTTGTATCTAATGTTTCCTAAACTGTTTGAAAGAGTTGGTCGTAAAAAAGTATAATTAAAATTATCATTTTGTATACGTGATTTGCATATATTTTAGTGTTGACAGATAGCTTGACATAGTCAGTCAAAAGAATTTTCTAGTCTAATATTGTTTGTGAATTGTTTCTAGATTCAACGCAGATATCTACAAATCCAGTAAAACAAATCTTTCTGTATATATTTTCATGCTTTACTTACGTTTCAGTTTGAGAATCTTGTTTCGATTCGCTTATCTCCCCTACTCTGGTAAAAAAAAAATAAAAAAATTGGTTTAGTAAAACTACAGAATAGCATTTTGTGATAAACGATGTTCTGTTATATCCACTCTGCAGACTTTGATAATTAGTAATGTTAATAAAATCAAGAGCTGCAAATCAATTATATTAAATATATTTTATTAGATGTTTATAATTCCAACCACAGCTCTCCAGAGTTCTCTGTCCTGCTGGAGTATGGGCCACCAGTTACATCTCTATTTTTCTGTCGTGCTGAGGTATGGGCCAACTATAACTCCAGAGTTTTCTGTTCTTCTGGAGTGTGGACCGCACTAGATTTACGTCGTATAGGCTGTTACCCACAGCTCTACACTTCCCTGATGTAGTATGGGCCTCAGACCACAGCTCTCCAAGTTATCTCCCCTACAAGACTACAGCCCTCCAAATAAAACCCTAAATGATTTTTGCTGGTATCCGCTTCAAGTTCTCTTTTTTATGTATTTGTTCTGGTTTGGTATTTTCTGAGTTCTAATGGAACGCTCGTTTCGCGTCTTCAGTATATTATCTAAGCAAATTTGCACTTTCAAACCTATTTCTCTCTCAACGTAACGGCGCTGTTTTAAAATTCTATCCTGGAGGGGTCTCGAAGCCTCGATTGCTCTTTTGTGGAGACCCATGACTAATTTTACCTGAGAAAGACATCCTCCATTGTTGTAGCTGAGAGTCCATACGATTGTAAATTTAACGAAGCCATTTTTTTGTCTAAACTTTGCAAAAGTTTTGGGAATTCACTGACGCAGTTATCAGGAAGTAGAAACGTAATCTCTGATATGTTGGATGACTTAGGATAAAAAAAGGTATACGAACATGAAATATGTTTAACTCATTGTAACAAAAAATAAGAACGTAGGAGCATAGTTTCAAGAATAAAGAAAACTAGCCCTAGTGTATTCAGGTTTAGATACAAGTCTCTACGATAAAACATGGGGCCGAGTGGCCTAGCTGTAGAGAGCTAGACTGCTAACCCGTAAGTTTCTAGTTCGAAACCGGTTTCGTCAGTAGACCGTCACTGAGTCCACTCAGCTCTAATGGGTTCCTAACTCACGTTAGGGAAAGTAAAGGCGGCTGGACATAGTGCTGACCACACCATCACTTCACAGAAACAGGAGAACTCTACTTTGCTTGCTTGTCAGGTTTGGAAGGGGAACATTACGATAAAACACGTGGAACAAAAAAGAGGGTTTTTAAAATATTTTTTTTTTACATCATCACTCTCTTGACACAGTTTTACCGACAAACATTGACACAATTTGGTATAACAAAAGTTTCGGATTTAAAAAAATAAAGTATGGTTGGGGGAAGTTTGCAACATTGTTATTAACAAACATCCATGTCTTAATTAAAACACTGATTAGACTTTGCAAAGCAATTCTTTTGTTGTTTTTATCGAAATAGCAGAATTTTGTCAAAAAAACAACAACGAATAATTAAAACATTTGTATATCTTATGTGCGATATAATGTATGAACGATTCCTTTCCAGATAATGCGAAAAAAGATTTCAAAACTTTTAGCAATGAAAAAACTGTGTCAAATAGGGCTGGTAAGTAGGTCACCAACCAGTTCTATGGCTCATGCAGGTTTTATTGAGCAGTATAACTGGTTGGTGACCTACTTACCAGCCCTATTGTCTGCTCAAAGCATCTAAATCATCCTCCACCCCAGCCTGCCCACCTGGTATATAGCGGCTTGTACACTAGACAAGACGTGTTGAATCACTTTGTATTCATGACACTCCGCGGACTTGACCAAAGTCAGTTTGTAGCCAATCCCTGTAAACAAAAACAGTAAACACTTAAAACACAATAATTATATTTTTTTCTGTTAAAAAAACTAGCCAGCTGATTCTATTAGTCAAAACTAATCAGGTAGAGGCAGACACTTTAAAGAACTGCACACAGTACCAACCAATTGCTCCGATGGTGTGTGCCAAATGTTGCCACCATCTCACGGAGCATTGCACCGCCTGGCTTTGACGTGAGGAACAACTGGGTCAGGGAAAGGTCTACGGTGGTCGACGCTGGGGTCGGAACTCATGACTGTTGGGCTAGCAAACACACCTATATGTTTTAAACACAGAAGCTGTACCATAAATTTTCTTTAAGAACATGGGCGTCCCGCAGCACTTGACGACGCCGTTGGCCATGATGGCTATCCGGTCACTCAGGTAGTCGGCCTCGTCCATAAAATGTGTCGTCATTAAGAGTGTACGTCCTTGTCGCAGGTTGGTCAGACAACGCCACAAGTCCCTGCGAGAACTGGGATCGAGTCCCGTCGAGGGCTCGTCCAGGAATATGGTCTGTGGAAAGTGTCAGATTAGAATCAGGAGTTTGAAATTTTAAGTCACCACTTTGACTAATATTGCAGTCGGTAGTGGAGTCAGGAGTCAAACTTCACATTTGAGACACCCCCTTTGAGACACCACCTATGATACACCCTTTTGAGACACCACCTTTGAGACACCCTCTTTTAAGACACCACATTTAAGACACCAAGACACCCCTTTGAGACACCCTTTGAGACACCCCCTTTGAGGCACCACCTTTAAGACACCCCCTTCTTCGCGTCACTACCCTAGCGTGAGTACCTTGGTATTGCCTACAAATGCACAAGCAACGGAAAGCTTTCTCTTCTGTCCCCCAGACAAATTCTTGGGCTTGTCATCGATTTTAAGCTGCAGCTCCAGCTGCGACAAAGTTTCTAAAGCTCCAGTTCTGGTGAGTTCTCCTTTTCGCATCTAGTTTACATCATAACAATTTTTTTTTTCAATTTTAGACCTTCAAGAGTGGCTTTTCTTTATAGATATTTGAATAATAGTGAATTATATATATATATATATATATATATATATATATATATATATATATATATATATATATATATATATTTCTTTTATAATGAACGCTCGTAACAGAATATATATGTATATATATATATATATATATATATATATATATATATATATATATATATATATATATATATATATATATATATATATATATATATATATATATATATATATATATATATATATGTATATATATATATATATATATATATATATACATATATATATATATATATATATATATATATATATATATATATATATATATGTATATTTATATATATATATATATATATATATATATATATATATATATATATATATATATATATATTACTGACAACATTGTGCGAATCATTGGCTTCTACTATTGTGAGTAGCGCGGCCAATGGTTCGGACACAGTGTGAGGTATGCATAAAAAACATTAAGTAGACCCTATCTCTACTCTTATTTTTTAAAAAGTGAAAGATACCTACCCTATTGTACAAGATTTTGCAACCTCAGCAAAAAGCGCATAGACTAAAAGAAAAGAAAGTCGAGAAACGACACCTACCTTAGTGTAGAAGACCATATGCTCGTAGACTGTGAGTCTGGGAAAAAACAAATCGTGCTGAGGACAGAAGCCCAGGGTTTTTCTAATGGCTGTCATGTTTCCAATAACATCCATGCCGTCAATCATCACTTGACCGCGAGTTATGGGGGTCAGACCTGATAGGGTTAATAAAATAAATTGCTTTCAGCTCTGTAGGCAAGGTAATATAAGGGTACTAAAATAATGGTTTAAATAAAGCAAATTTCACATTATATCTCTTCTAAGACAACTTTTGCCAAGCATCATTAAAGGGGCAACAGTCTCTCACTTAAGATAATTAAATTTTCAGTTTCGCCAAGAACTAAATAGTGGCACAATCAACATCAATCTAAGGTGTCTTAAAACATTTCGACCAGTTCGACTGTGGGGCCATTTCTTCAAATCTAAGAAATGTTTTTAAAAAAGTTTCACCAGAAAAAAATGTTGAACCGTACGTCTACCTAATATCTTAAACAAAACAATTTCACCATATCAAACAGTCTATCACTCCCTACCTAAGATCATTGAAATAATTTCACCAAATCAAACAGTCTATCACTCCCTACTTAAGATCATTGAAATAATTTCACCAAATCAAACAGTCTATCACTCCCTACCTAAGATCATTGAAATAATTTCACCAAATCCAACAGTCTATCACTCCCTACCTAAGATCATTGAAATAATTTCACCAAATCAAACAGTCTATCACCTACCTAAGATCATGGAAATAATTTCACCAAATCAAACAGTCTATCACTGCCTACCTAAGATCATGGAAATAATTTCACCAAATCAAACAGTCTATCACTCCCTACCTAAGATCATTGAAATAATTTCACCAAATCAAACAGTCTATCACTACCTACCTAAGATCATTGAAATAATTTCACCAAATCAAACAGTCTATCACCCTACCTAAGATCATTGAAATCATCGTCGTTTTACCGGCACCATTGTGTCCGAGTAACATTGTAATCTGGTTGGTGTAGATGTCCAGACTGACGCCAGAAACTACCATGGCTTTATCGTACATCTAAATAACAAAAAATATAGTTTATACATTACTCCAGCACGCCAGATAATTCTAGAGATATGTATTTGAGGGGCTATTACTCCTTCAGGATAGAGAACTCTAGAGATGTGTATTTTAGGGGCTATTACTCCATCAGGACAGAGAACTCTAGAAATATGTATTTTAGGGGCTATTACTCCATCAAGACAGATAACTCTAGAGATATGTATTTGCGGGGCCATAACTCCAGTACACAAAAAACTCTGGGAAGATTTAGATTTAGGGGCCGTTACTCCAATAGGTAAAAAAACTGGAGATTTAGATAAGTGTCTGTGACACTATTCCAATAAAAATGAATGGTAGATGATGGTGATGAAAAAATGATATTTTTTTTCCTCGTAGTAAAGTGATTCAGTAGAAACTAATTGATAATATTCTAACAAGAAACAACAATGATAAAGTGTAAAGCCATTTGGAAATGAAATTAATTATCAAACACATACGTATACTTTAGAAACATGGAACGCACCTTTCAACAACAAAGTACTAAACCGAGATGTATTGAGAAAGAAAAAAAAAAACTCCGTATTCTTATAACATTACTTTTAATAATCTTATATAAGCTTACCTTGACCAAGTCACGAACGACAATTCCTGTTGTCTCAGTCCCTGAAGGCTTTTCAAAGAACTTTTTATTTTGCGGAGGTACGGGAGGGATACATGTTTTCTTTATTTCACATCTGATAGCCTAAAGATTAGTGCAAACATTTTATTTTGAGGTTATGATAAAAAATGCTGTAAAATCGATATATATATATATATATATATATATATATATATATATATATATATATATATATATATATATATATACGTAGAGCCATAACCCATCACCACACTTTAGTCCATATTTCACCTGAAAATATTTCACCTACCTCTCTAAACCGTAAACGTTCGCTTGCCAACACTATCGTACAGTTCACGGCACTATTGAGTACCATGTACAACATTCCTTCAACAAACGGTAAAACATCCGCGTCTGTTTTCTCATGTCTGAAATCTGATTGAAACAAAAATGAACACTTCTAAAGCGAGACAACAGCAGACTGAAATTGCTGAATGTATACGATAAAATTCGGCTAAAAATAGGGCTTGTAAGTCTACGGCCTCGAAATCTACTAGCTGGTAAGTACGAGAACGAGAAGTTGTGACCTACTTACAAGCCCTATACTTTGACTAGTTCAAGGTAACAGTGTAACGATCTCTAATCAGGGGCGTAGCAAGGGGGTGGATGGGGGTGCGGACCGCACCGGGTGACACCATTTAGGGGGCTGACACCAAGGCAAAAAATAGCAAAATAAATAGAGAAAAACTCGAGGAGGGTGCAAATCGAAAGTTTGAGGGGGGGGGGGTGCAAATCGAAAACTTGAGGGGGGAGGTGCAAATCGAAAGTTTGAGGGGGGGGGGTGCAATCGAAAATTTGTAAGTTTGTCCCTGGGAAGGGTCTCTATGCCTTTGGGAGGGAGGGTGACACCATTAAGTGCCGCACCGGGTGACACCCGACCTCGCTACGCCACTGTCTCTAATCACACATTAATTCACGAAAGTAAAAAAAAATTTATCCCATTAATAACTTTAAAAAAAAGCACACAATATATTAAACATGAAAAAAAAACCGTGATCTATTTTGGCAGATATCTTTGCTAGTTCGATTATCAAGTAGGTCTTGTAACATTCTACTACACAGCCGACGCCGTCTTTTACATATATAACACGACAACTCTCGATACTTACATCGAAATTCCTCCGCGCACAACCATTTAAAACACATAATCATGCCATGGGAGTAGAGGAAGGGCCCCACCAAAACATTTATCCACGATCCACTGACTTGGTTTGATAGGACGTTCGCAGCCACGAAATAAAAAAAGGCGTACAATCCGGCGAGTTTCGCTGTTAAAAAAAGACAAAAGTTAGGACTATCTCTTTTCGTTTAAAATATAAACCAAAAATACCTCATGCTATTTAATTCACGTGCACATAACGACACAACCTTTAAAACCTACGATTAGCCCACTTTCTAAATCTACTCATTTTTGCTCGCACTGTAAACATTCTCAACATCACTCACTTTGTAAACCTAAGATCTATCTAATGCTAAACCTTCATCACTTTCTAGTTATCTGAACCTAAACAACTAAAACCACATTCTATACCCAACCAAATTCACTTACATTCTAATTCTATACCTTATAACATATCAAATACCACTCACAATGTTAATCTACTAAAATCACTCAAATATGCCCAAGTTTAGAATCACTAAACACAACCATTCCATGCATTACTAACCATCGTTTAAAAAACAGGACAACATCAGCGAAAATGTCAGGCTATTTATGGTCATGTGAGTATACAATGTGAATTGAGATACAAACGACAAATGAAACATGGGCCCTCTTTTCCACTCGTAGCTCCACAGTAAGGACACGATCAGGACGTTTATGAGACCAATAAAAAGCCGAGCCAGAAGCCATGAGCTCCAGTACACCACTTGAGAGAGGCCCTGCACCTTCAGTGTCTCCTGAAAAAAAAACCAAGGACAGCCACATAATGATTAAAACAAGTATATTTCCGTATTTTCTAAAGTGTTTTCTTTCTATAACTTTTTCTAATTTCAAGACAATTATAAAGCTAGCCTATGTTCTTAGCCTTCCCTCATTTCATTGCAATTGCACTTTGGTCTAATGAGTCGATTATACATGACGTCATACATTGAGACGATTTTAAATTCAAAATCAGTGTCAGGCATTGTAAACACAAAACGTCGTCCCACGTGAGTCTACCCTCACCAAGCTGCGGCTATAGAATTACTTTAAAAAACATTATACACCGATTTCATTCTAAAATATCAAATTGACTGGGCTATCGTAGATATGCTGACCAATTTTATCAGAATTATAACACAAACAAATGGGAAAAAACTAACTAATAAAATAAAATGATAAGTGAATTTGTCAATTATTATCATACAAAACACGAATCACTTTCTCACTTGGAGTATGATTTCAGTTATGGACATATATAACCAGAATTATAACAAAGACAAACAAAGACATTGTCGAAAAGCAAAAGGCATCGAAACCATTAAATATTACACTGTCGGCATTTTTATGAGAATTAATTTACCTTTCCTTTTTCTCAAATCTAGTAAGCCAGGGCGGCGCCTTGCCGAAGCGGCTAGTTACCTTAATATTGGCTTCTTTCTCCTCGACAATAAGTAACGTTGAGATGACAACAAGAGACAGCATTATCGTGGGGAGTACAATAAGAATATCCGACAAATTCTCAACGCCAATAGTAACGGCAGGCATCATCTGAGTTTTCACCAACAACCGCGGGTTGTGTGTCAGGTTGCCGGGTTGTCCCAACCAGTAGTTCAAGTACAGCTGTGCAACAACCAGCTGAGTAGGAGTTAACCCTGTGTAGGCATTTTCTGCAACACATTGTGTGGATGTTTTTTAAAAACTAGAACTGAGGTAGACACAATAGAGAATGAACCTCATTAAATAGAGTTCGGGGCGTCTGGGGATTTTAATGGGATGGAGGGGGGGGGGGGGGGCGGTTGAAGCTGAAATAGGGACTCAGTGGGTTACATGTTGAAGAAAATCCTTTCCAATATTACAATTAAGAACGGCGAACACAAAAGAGACATTTAAACTGTTTTGTAAAGGGCAGAGGATGGTCAACCCCTAAATGGTCAGTAGAGCCAGAACCCAGGGTGGACAACCTTCAGTGGTCAGCAGTGGCGTAGCTAGGATTTTTGGGCACCTATGCAAAAGTGTTAGTGGGCCCCTCAGAAGCGTAGCGACCCTTCCCGGCGACCGGGGACAAACTTTCGATTTGCACTGCACCCCACCCTCCCCTCAAACTTTCGATTTGCACCCCCCTCAAACTTTCGATTTGCACCCCCCTCAGACTTTCGATTTGCACCCCCCCCCCTCAGACTTTCGATTTGCACCCCCTCAAACTTTCGATTTGCACCCCCCTCAGACTTTCGATTTGCACCCCCACCCCCTCAGACTTTCGATTTGCACCCCCTCAAACTTTCGATTTGCACCCCCCTCAGACTTTCGATTTGCACCCCCACCCCCTCAGACTTTCGATTTGAACCCCCCCTCAAACCTTCGAAGAAGGGCCCCTATTTGCCTTGGGCCCCTATGCCTTGCTTACGCTAGCTTTACGGTAGCTACGCCACTGGTGGTCAGTAGTGCCAGAACCCAGGGTGGACAACCCTCAGTGGTCAGTGGAGCCAGAACCCAGGGTGGACAACCCTCAGTGGTCAGTGGAGCCAGAACCCAGGGTGGACAACCCTCAGTGGTCAGTAGTGCCAGAACCCAGGGTGGTCAACCCTCAGTGGTCAGTGGAGCCAGAACCCAGGGTGGTCAACCCTCAGTGGTCAGTGGAGCCAGAACCCAGGGTGGACAACCCTCAGTGGTCAGTAGTACCAGAGCCCAGGGTGGATAACCCTCAATCTACAGTAGTGCCAGAACCCATACAGTCTGCCTGGCTATGAGCGTAGCTTCAGCTGGTAAGGACCATAAACCAGAGAGAAACCCTTAAGATTAATGCAGTCAAACAGGTGTTATTTTTGTAAAAACTTTTTATTTGAAATAAACTAAATGTGTTTAAAATAAGGCGATAAAGGTAGGTAGTCAATTAGCGATTGCACTAATAACTTAATGTGGGACGGTGTGGCCTAGCGGTAGAGCGCTAGGCTGCTAACCCGAAAGTATCGGGTCCAAGGCAGTAGAGCGTCCCTGAGTCAACACAGCTCAAATGGGTACCTAACTCATATTAGGAAAAGTAAAGACGGCTGGTCAAAGAGCTGATCACACCTTTCCATCATATGCCGTTGTCCAGAAACGCTAGGTCTAAAGAGGATATTTGACTTGACTTTTACTAATCTATTGTTAGGTGCGTGAGATTAGTATAAATTTGCTTACTCTTCGATTTGCCAGTCCGCCGCGTTGTCGGTACGGCATCTTTGACGGGAACCCGAAATTTGAGGTGGTTTGGAAGAAGTCCATCGGGGGTTTCGGTGTCCTCAAATATTGCCAGTGGGTCGTTCTTTATGTTAGCCACAGGTCCGAATTCTTTTGGAACTTTTTGGTGAAAATAATTGAAGAAAATGATAGTTTTTAGAAAAGTGTTGGGACAAAGAAAGTTTTAAGAAAATAATTGAGGAAAATGATAGTTTTAAGAAAAGTGTTGGGGAAAATGATAGTTTTTTAGAAAATTATCTGGAAAATGATAATTTTAATTAAGAAAATTATTGGGGAAATTATAGTCAACTATATTCTCACTAATGCAATGGATACTGGTCATATATATATACATATATATATATATATATATATATATATATATATATATATATATATATATATATATATATATATTGAGCAGTGAACTGTCTACTTACTTGTCCAGTTGACATTGACCATAGCTCTGAGAGCTAAAGTATCAGGCATGTAAGTGAAGGTTTCTTGAATCCCATAGTTTAAGCTGACGGGGGGAAACTGCTTCGTGCGTGTGATAAGTTTGAGGAGAAGGAATGCACTGGCACAGAAGAAGGTGATCCCTGAAAAAGGTAAGTTTGGGTGGTGTGTTGGACAGAATAGATAATGGGTTTGAACACACTAAGCGATTTGTTTTTTCTCCATATACGGTATATAAAAATAAAATTCAATTTAATTTTACACGGGCAGCCACCGGCAGGATGCGATTTGGCGCCCCGGTCTTTCCCTTGCGCGCTATGGCGTATACGTTCGTTTTAAATAGTGAGATAGACGGGCGTTATAGTCATTCAATAAACTGAATCAGGCGCAGAGGTGTAGCGAGGGAGGGGGGGGGGCGGGGGGACATATGTCCCCGGGCGCCGACCTTAGGGGGGGCGCCAAATTGCAAGTTTGGGGGGGGGGTGCAAATGAAAAGTTCGAGGGGGGTGCAAATCGAAAGTTTGAGGGGGGGGGGTGCAAATGAAAAGTTCGAGGGGGGGTGCAAATCGAAAATTTGCTCCCGAGGGGGGCGCCAAATTGAAAGTATGTCCCCGGGCGCCGGGATGGGTCGCTACGCCTCTGATCAGGCGAGTCCTAAATTTGAGCATCCATTAGGGAGAGGTTGTTGGCACTAGGAAGAGCTAACTAGTTTGATAAACCGTACAAACATCTGAAAAACATGTTTACCTATTTCGATTACTGACATCTTTATCGACCTTTTTAAAACGATGACGTTTTTGTAGTACAGGGCGGAATACTGGCACCTGAGCTCTTCCCAATCAGGCATGCTTGAAAGGTGAGCTGTAACCCTGGCAGGTTGCAATTTGGCGCCTCGGGCTATCCCGTGAGCGCTGTGGCGCCTACGTTGGTTTCAAATATTGCGATAGCCTATGCATAAGATTGCGGTTTAGAGTCGTTTACTAAACATAATCAGGCAGGTTTGAAAGGTGAGTTGTAGCTGAAACAGAATGGAGAGTAGAAGACACTTAGTTGTGTGTAGTTTTCTATTTTATTTTGAGACCTAACATCATTTTCTTATTAACAATCTAAGATATTAGGTCGCACGGGCAAAATATATTAGAGACAAAACATTCGCAGAAAAAAATACATCAGGAGAAAAGTAAATTACGGAGAAAACACGTCAGACTCAACAGATCTCAGAGAAGAAAGATCGAAGGGACAAAATATATCAGGGACTACATCTAAGGGACAAAATATATCATGGACTTTATCTGAGGGACAAAATATATCATGGACTTTATCTGAGGGACAAAATATATAATGAACTTTATCTGAGGGACAAAATATATCAGGAACTTTATCTGAGGGACAAAATATATCAGGGACTTTATCTGAGGGACAAAATATATCAGGGACTTTATCTGAGGGACAAAATATATCAGGTACTTTATCTGAGGGACAAAATATATCAGGGACTTTATCTGAGGGACAAAATATATCAGGGACTTTATCTGAGGGACAAAATATATCAGGGACTTTATCTGAGGGACAAAATATATCAGGGACTTTATCTGAGGGACATAATATCCCAGTGGTAGGTAATCTGAAACAAAATATCTCAACGACAAAATATTTCAGCGACAAAATATAACAAAGACAAAATATCCCCAAAGACAAAATATATTAGTGACAAAATTTGAGGAACAAAAATTAACTGCACATGCAATGGTATGAATCAAGAAATAACACAACTCTACTTCATTTACTAAAAGTACCGTTTGTATACTCTATTCCATACCTTTAAATATGGTCTATTATGGTTTTTCTAGATTCAATAAATAAAGTTACCAATTCTTCGTTTCAAAACAACTCCAACTCTTTTGTTTTAGAAGTTATATCTGCTACAATTGCACACATTAATAGTTCAAGTTTTCGGAAAAAGCCAATTATGCGCGTAATCAGTTACTTGATGGCATTTTAGGAGAATGACAGTCTAGATAGTCTGTTTTCTATTTTAATAAGCAAATATATAATATCATGGACACTTGATCTCAGACAAAATTTCTCAGACAAATTATCTCAGACAAAATATCCCAGACAAAATATCTCAGACAAAAAATATCACGGCAAATCAGTCGCTTTGAACATTTTTTAAATTGATTTTCATTTTTTTACTACGTTTTTAATAACTTGCCAATCTAAATATTTTCTTTTGAAATACTTTACTTTGAAGGTAACCATTAACAGAAACATAATTTTCCAAAACTCAACAAAGATTTATCAAAAAGTATAATGCTACACACTTTTTAAAAACGGGGTTTTCCGATGTGTGATTTTTCTAATAAAACTTTGTGTAAAAAAAGTGTGCGGATTGTTTTTGCATCCAGTGTTTTAAGTTGATAGAGACCTCTGAACAAGACAAATATACAAAATATAGACTAAATAGATCTTTATAATGCCGGAATGGGTAGAAATGGGATGTCAATTTTCGGCTCTAACTTACAAGAACATCTGCCTCTATAAAAGCTCACTTTGGATTACTATACTAGAACTGAGTAAAGATTTTGTAATTGTTTTGAGAGAGATAAGAAAATCTAGCTCTAGATCTAGAGATCTAAATCTGAGATCTAGCTCTTGAACTAGGTTATAGAATATTCTAGATGAAGTGTTCAATATTGTTTATCTATTATTGCTGAGGTAATGGCTAGATTTTTCACATTTTAAAATACTTCTTCCTCTGCTTACCACACTAGCTCAAATAATTTCAACATCTTCTGCAAATAATAATTGCAGGTGACGTCAAAATATTTTGAGCTAATTAGTGTTAATAATGATATACCCTATACCTTAAGGTCTACACTCTTCACCCTACAGTCTATACCATACACAGACCACACCCTACATACTCCTGCCTCAACATCCAAAATACTTCTTTCAACAACCTGCACCTCCATACTCAAACCCTACACCACAACAATACACCTCAAATTCTACACTCTACACTACACACTCCAGCCCAGGCTTCGCCAATATGCAATCATTCTATGGTCTATTCGTCTATGGAGCCATATTTGACAGATAAAGGTTCATCAACCTTAGGGTTACTTATAATGTCATCTATAGTGTTATGTTCAACATAAAGTTTATGGCAACAAATTTGTATAGCTTGTATTGTCTAATCTATAACAATCTGGAAGGTTTGAAAACTACTTAAATAATTGTTACATTGATGATGTTGTCTTAATTTAGATAAGGTTAAATACTCTATGCTATGTTATACAAGTCTTACTTTCTTCCTTAACCATATATGCTTCATTATACTTTTTAT